CCTATATTTTCTGTTAATAAGACAATAAATCTGCATACTCAGTTTAACATTTTAAAAACTTAAAAAGACTGAAATTATAGTAGCATTCTTTAAACAGATATATTTATCTATAATTTTATATGACAATTTTTTCCTACACATCAAAGACTAAAAATCTCATAACTAAGCCAAAAATGCATTAATTTTAATTCAGAAAGCTGTCCTATGTTAGTTTTTAATAGGTTAACAAATCTGCATACTCAATTTAAAATGTAAAAAAATAACATTATTAACAATTTTTAAAAATTTTAACGAGCTTATAAAACTTTCGAAAATGGAGTAAAATTTTTTTCTTCCAAAATATGGCTATATTGATTCTGCTTTTGATGCTGATCAAGAATAGGTGTGGTTTATAGGGTCGGAAATGATTCCTTCACTGCTTTACAAGCTTTTTATTTAAATTATAATACCCTAGAAGGGTAATCAAATTTTAATTAAAGCCTAAAAATCTGAAGGTCTCCCATTTAAAACTGATTCCTTCGAATATACAACTTTAACTCTTGAAAACATAAATGCAAATTATCGAGCTACTTTAACTTCAAATCGATAAATTCGATCCTTTATCGATTCTTCACTGTGGCCTCCTCGAACTGGCAGGCGGCTTCTCTCCTCGACTTTTCGACCAATGCCAGTTTGGCATTCATTTATTCGCATCTGTTGCCAATTTACAAAACTCAATTTCAGTTGATTTTTTCCTTCTTGTTTGATTTCTCGATTTCGATTTGGGTTTTTTGCAGCGTTTTCTCGCGTTTTTTTGTCAAACGTTGAGCCGCCTTAATTGATTTTGGCGCTTTAACGAGGCGCAAAGTAAACACACTCCCAGCTAAAAAATAAATACAACAAAATACGAATCAAATACACCCATTTGACAGCTCTGTGGGCCGAAACGAACTTGGCTATCGGCGTGTTAATTGAACGCGAAATTGTAACGAGATTGAAATTGTAATGTCTGCGATTTGGGGTAAATAGGTGGAATATCTAATTGAATCAGAGATTGTTGTATCTGAGAGATTCTCTTGACCTTACCTGACGTACCTCTATAAATCCTTCAAAGTAAACTCGTTTTAATTTTTATATTTTTCTTTTATTTCTTGTAATCATGCAAGTTCTGTTCTTTTCTTTTTTGCATTTTAATTTTGGTATCAGCAGTCAGCTTCAATTAGTTTTCCATAATATTTTCGTAATCGTAATCGTCGGTTCCATCACGCTCTGCCGCTGATATATATTTATATATAATATAATATATTTATATATCTCTTTATTAATTTATGTACACCATTGAAATTCGGACACTTTTATATGGATGAATATCCGCGCGTATTCGTAATTACAAATATTTCATTTGAATGAGTTCTTTTTTTACTCAGCTCCAGATGCTGCTAAATATGAGTTGTAATATTTTGTAGTATTTGATAGCTTATGCAAGAAACAGTTAAAATCGCTTATGCCGTTTATTTTTTCCTTGTATTCATAAGATTATTCAATTATCCATCAATCTCTAAGTTAATATTGGGTTTCATATATATGCTTTATTTGCATTCCGTGTGTCTTATTTTCTTGTGCTTTTCGGTCTTTATTTATACAGAGTGTGTTTGAGTTTTTATGTAGGCAAGTAGTCTCAATTATGTAGATTAAATATTTATTTAATGTTAAATATATATATATATATATCATTGTAATTTTCACGTTTATTTGTTTATATATATTTTTTGTTTACTTAATTACCACAACAAGCGTTTCCAGTTTTCTTATTTGATTTACTAACAATTACAATACATTTACAATATTTTCTTTTTTTTTTTTTGTTATGGGGGAATCCTCAACTCAACTGCCATGTGTAAATTATTAATTAATTTTGTGGGTTTTTGGGCCCCAAATAAATTAATAGGAAACGTTTAAACCGAAATTAAAGAGCTGAAGAATTATAAATATATTAAAAATTGAAATGAAAAGTTGCAGGGAAGACAGAGAAACTGATGTATTGATGAAATCTTTTCAAAAACTATCCAAAATTATGCTTTAGATCGCCAAAAACTCTTCTTTGCTAGCTTTTAAAATATTTTTCGTAAAGTAACATTGATATTTCTGGCATTCTTGATCAACTTAAAATTCAAAGTAATTTGTTTCAAAGGGGCCCAGAAATCGTTGTAAATGTGAAATCGCATAAAAAATGGTCTAAAAGTGGGCTAAATATTTTAGATCTTTAAAAGAAATCTAGAAATATTTTTAGACACATTTTTAAATATATTTCTAACGAAAAATCAGTTTCTATGACACCCTTTCATTTAAGTAATTCAAATAATCAAATTTCATTTAAAATCGTTTTGAAGTCCTATTATTTTAAGTTCTATACAGAGAGGCTACATGCAGATATTAAGCTATTAATACTCGATTGGTAAGTTTTTCACATATTAGTTTAGTTATAGAGCATTTTCGATAGAGTGATTGATAGGATGATTTTTTTCTGAGGGGGAAAGGGAAGTTAGAACGGGGCTGCATTCGCTGTAAACAATTTCACATTTAGTTATTGGTTAAGTTCAAATACGAATACGCAAAATGGCTGTATCGATTATATATATATACGTCTATATATATATTACATAAATATTTTTAATTATATATATTGTATAATTTTATTCTCATTTTTTTCTTTCTTGTGTTTACACTTCATGCAAAAGAAGAAGTTTAAAAACTGTTAAGTACATATAAAAAATATGAATATCCAACCAGCCCCCGTCGTCCTTTACTGAATTCCGCTTTAAAAACAAAAAGACCAAGAGAATATTTTTTTCTTTATGGGATGTAATCTTTTTGTGCTGGGCGAAAGGATAATGGAACTCAAACGGAATTCAGTACCAGGCTTTCTGTCCATTATAACTATTGTTGTAATCATAACTATATACAGGTTAGGGTAAAAGTTATAGACAAAAAGGAGTTAAAAAACTCTTACAAAGTCAAAGCTATGATTTCTCGGCTCCCCTAAATTTCAATTTAAAAATTTTTCCTTCCACCGATATCTGTAATTAATGTTTATATACACTTTATATATATATCTAAATATATTTTATGTTGGTTTACTATGCCGCTATATGGTTAATTAGAGAGAGAGTTTCGTGTTTCGTGTGTTTACCCGTATTTGCTGTTGCAGAAAATGTCATCAAATCATAAATGTTGTACGCATCACAATCGGTATATATGGTATGAATAATATATGGAGTTTATAGAGGAGCGAGGGGAAGGTAGGTTCGTCGAAGAAGACATCAATCCAATGCTAAGACATTCTAGGTACACAGAGAGAAACAAGATAATAATATGCAGTCCTCTAGAGCTGGGAATCGATCAAAGATTCTATTTTTAAATAATGGGTTTCTTTTTAATAAATGAATAGATCTACTTCGTTTGGAAAACAAACATTAGCTATCATCGATAAATCTATTAAATCAAGGTTTTTATATCTGAAATTATTGCAATGAGAATCGATAAACAGCTCTATCCTAAAGAGAAACGACAAAGAATAGTTTGATTAATCGATTATTTCCCAGCTCCAAACTGAGGTTAAACGATAAGTAAATATCGATAAAATATAACAACGATGACAAGGATGAGATGATGATGAATTTCGATTTAATCAGAGTTTTGTTTGGTTTTTTTTTTGCTTGGTTTAAGTTGCAATTTGTTTTCCATTTTATTATCGCTCTTGCTTACGCTCTTCTTACCGCTCTACATTTTTACAGACTACGAAATTACATCGCTATATAATTATTATTATTGTTTAAATGTGTTGGTTTTGTTTTTTTTTCGTACTCGCTTTTGGATCTTTTTTTAAAATATTATCATTATCATTATTATTATAATTTTTAAATCGTTATCATTAGGGTTACTATTATGATGAAGCATTAGCCTGCTCTTTCCTTCTGGTTTGTTGTTTCGTTTTGCAATTACACGAATACAATTAAAATTATTACCTTGTATAAAAATAATAATATTAATAGCATACAATAATAGTGTGTGTTCTGCAACTTCCACATTCGCTCTGCCTCTGAAGTTGCGTGTGTTTCTTAGTTAAAATGTAACTAAATGTAGTTTTTTTGCTTTTTTATGTTTCGCTTTTAAGTTTACAGGATAAGTTAATTTAATTTACGTACATTGAAAAATGTGGTTTTGTTTTTGTTTTTTTGTTTTTCTTCGGGCTGCTCGTGGAGCGACCAAGTCCCTCTGGAGGGCATGGGGTCATCCAAGCGAGCTGCCCGGCTAAAGCGCGTGGTTCTGAAACGGCCTGGGCCGGAGGAGAGAGGAGTTCCCTCCTTCTCCCCATTGTTACAACTATTCGTATCACTAAACATAGTTTCATTCATTAATCAATTATCTCTTGCAGTTTAATATTATTTCGCATGTGTTTCGTTTGCAATTATTATCGAATATGTACAGTTTTGCTATTTAACACTTGAGTTGTTTGCTGGCTGATTCGTTTTTGGGGAAGATGCATGGATGCATGGATGGATGGATGGATGGATGATGCATGGAGGGAGTAGGGATTGTTGGGGATAGGAGCTGGAGATGGGTTGGGTTGAGAGAGATGAAGAGCCAAAAGTTCTCCTCGATATACATTGTACATATAATATATATATTTTGCTTTTATTAATTTTTAATTCTTATCATGGGTTTTTCGTTTTTTGTTTCGTTTTGTTTTAGGTTAGGCGATCTTGAAAAATAAGACCTAAATCGATATACACACATATGCTTCTCTCTATATATAGCTATAGAAAATCAGAAATTAAGCGAAATTTGTTATTGTTGGCTCTAATTTATACAATTTCTCCTGCCCCATCTCTCTATCTCTCTGTGTTTCTTGCAAGATCTCCTGTTGAAGCTGCTGCTGCACCTCCTTGGCTATATTTTACAGTTTTCTATATAGAGTTATCTCCCTGTTAAGGAAATATTTGTAAAATCTAGTTAATGATCTCGCTGCTGCTGCTTTTGTTCACCAAACAGAGGGCACAGCAGCAATTGTTGGGCTGCTGCAGGAGCTGGCCCAATGCCATTTGGCCGTCTGACGCAGCCAGTGGCAGGGCTATGGCCACCGCCTGGGCTTCCGCTTCCGGTGGCGTCAGCGACGGCGCCAAGCTGAGCAATGTGCCGCTGGGCAGTTGCACGGTTTTCGGTTGCATTCGATGTTAGCTGCTGCTGCCGCTTCCATCCGCGTCTCATCTGTTGATCGTGGACGTTGTCACACCCGTCGCTCCGCCTCCTGCTCCAGCGCCAGTTGCTCCACCGGCATTAACGCCTCCTCCTGCTGTAGTGGTAACAGGTCCTCCTCCTCCTCCTCCTCCACCATTTCCTCCGTTGCCATTGTTGTTGTTATTATTATTGTTATTGTTGCTGGTGGGCAGCACCACTCCGCCATTATTGGCACTGGCTATCACCTGCTCCACGGTCAGGGCCTTGCCCACATCCTTGGCACTCAATAGAGTGCCGCCACCATCCTGGGAGCCCACATTGTTGGCATTTGTGGCAACCAGTTGCCTAATCGTAGTGGTTGTGGCCGGTCCCACAGCCCCGCCGCCCGTACTGTTCACCGTGGTGCCCAGCGGCAGGGTTCTGGTTATAATCGCCGAATTGTTGAGGCGTCCGCGGAGCACCTGCTGCAGTCCACCCGGACCAAGTTGCATCTGCATCTGGCCGCTGTTGTTCTTCTGCAGCGGCTTCACATTCAGCAAACTGGTGTACAACACTCGCTTGTCACCGCCCTGTCCGGGTTGTGAGTTGCCAGCGGTGGCCAGGGTCTTGAGCTTCTGGTGTTGCTGTTGCTGCTGTTGTTGTTGCTGCGACTTGTTAAGTACCACTGTGGTGGCGCCCACCTGCTGCGTTCCATCTCCTCCACCCGAGCTGCTCACAAAATTCAGCTTCAGGTTGGAGTTGGTGGTGAGTTCCTTGTAGTGTAGTTTTTGTCCCGCCGCCGCCGCTGCTTGCAGTTCTCCAGGCGTTGCGATGGTGAAGTTCCCGGCAGTTCCGCCGCCACTGCTGTTGCTGCTGCTGGTCAGGAAGATCTTGTTGGCCTGCTGCGGTCCCGCCTGCGTTGTAATGATTGCTGTGGAGGCGGGATGCAGGCTGTAGTTGTGATTGGCCGCTATGGTAGCCGCCGAGTTCGTCTTGAGCTGCTGCTGCTGCTGCTGCTGGTTTGACCCCGCCTGCTGTTGTTGCTGCAGATTGACGTCCGAGACGAGCAGCGGGAACTGCGACATCTTGATCACCTTGCTGAGCTTCTGCAGCTGCTGTTGCTGTTGTTGTTGCTGCTGCTGTTGCAACAGCAGAGCTTCGCCTGTTTCCACTTGATCGCTGCTATTGCCCGGATTGGTGGCCACCAGTTCTTCGAGATCTTCATGCTGCACCAAATGCTGGAGCTGCTGCTTGGTCAGTTGAATTTGGTGCTGCTGTTGCTGCTGCTGATGTTGTTGCTGCTGTTGCTTGCGCAGGAATTTGCGATTCAGCAGGAGTTTGTTGATGTCTGCAGGGAGATGATGAAGACAATTTAGAAATGTTTACATATATAAAGTTTACAAACTGAAGCTATTATCTATTTACTTGAAACCCTTGAAAGTTGGCTAATCTCAAGTGCTTCCAGGTTTGTGTTTTATAAAAGCCATAAAAATAAAACCCACTTGAGATTAGATTACAAAATTGTGGAACCACCTCAAGGTAGTTGGTAAAAGTAAGAATAACTATTATCTATCTATTATCTCACCTGTATTCTCCGGTCCATTGAGTTGCCTCTTCTGTGTGGCCCGACTCGTCCAGAGGATCTTATTGCTCACCGCCACTGGCGAAGAGTCCACTGTGGTGGAGAGCACTGCTGTGGTGGCCACTGCCGTGTTGGTTCCGCTCACTTGCCGCCACAAAATCGGCTGCTGCTGCTGTTGCTGCTGCTGCTGCTGCTGTTGGACATTGTTCCGCGTGGGCGTTGTTATAATCAACGGCGTACTGGTGGTCACCTGCTGCACCTGCTGCTGTGCCTGCTGTTGCTGCTGCTGTTGCAGTCCTGCTATGCTGTGCACAGCCAGCTGCTGTCCACTGGCCGTATTGATGATGTTCACGCTGGATCCGGTGCTGCCATTGCCACCCGAGGAGCCATCATCGTTTTGCACTTTCACATTGGACAGTGTGATGACCGTGTTGGGGCCAATGGAGGTTGTGGTACCTGCTCCACCGCCGGGCACGCCCGTCGTCTTCTGAATGGCATAGGTGACCTTTTGGGCTGCCGCCGCAGCTGCGGCTGTTGCCGCCGTGACAATTTCACCGCTGCTGGTGGTGTAGATCATGTGGTTGCCGGTGGCGCCAGCGCCGGTTGCTTGCAGGGGCGTCAGGGAGCGCTGTCCCGTTGCGTCCCGCTGCATCTGGAAGAGCAACTGCTGCTGCTGCTGCTGCTGCTGGGGATTCTGATTCTGGTTGGGATTCTGGGGCGTTGCCTGCCGCTGCTGGACGGTTACGTTCCGGAGCTGAGCCTGGGCCAGCTGGTGCTGCAGCTGCTGTTGGGCGGTGAGGGTGGGTAGCGGACTGCTGCCCGTGTGCGGTGTAATGGTCACAATGTCACCCACAGCTGCACCGCCTCCGTACTCGGTGCGTGCGATGATCTGCGGACTGGCATTGGCGAACTGATTAAGCAGCTGCGCCACCTGGGGCTGCTGATGGGTCTGAAGCGTCTGCTGCTGCTGCTGCTGCTGTTGCTTTTGCTGCTGGGTGGTTATCTGGGCGGGTATGTTGATCAGCTGAGCCGAGGGCAGGGCAATGGCTTGTGGCGGCATTTGTTGCTGTGTTGCCGGGGTTGCAACAGCAACCGAAACAATCTCTGTCGCTTGAGGCTTCTCCAGCGCCGGCTCCACCTTCACAGTCACCAAGGCGGCTTCTTTAACCATCACCTGTTGTTGATGCTGCTCGGGTTGCTCCACCTCCGTTGGTGGCTCCTCTTTGGGTGTGACCAGCACCGGCGGCACCGGTGCCTGGCTAAAGAAGATCTGACGCTCCTTGAGCGATTCCGCAGTGGGACACACGGTGAAGGTGGAACTGCCCAGCGGGCATTGCGCTAATCTCATTTTGCGATTGCGACCAGCGCGCTTGGCGGCATCCGCCGCACCGCCCACCTTTGGCTTCTTCTCATCGATGCAGTCCAGCAGCTGGTCGGCCATCTCCACTTCGTCCACCGCTGCCTCGCCATCGAGGATGCCATTCCAGAAGTTGGTGGCCTGATTCAGCGCCTTGGGATCATCCATGGCGCACTCCTGCAGGATGTTGTCCAGCATATGCTCGTGATTATCGTCCTCATCCTCGTCATCGCCCAGCAGATTGTTGATGTCGTTCAGTGAGTCACCGCCACTAAGGTTGAATTCGAGGGCGGAACCCGCGCCCGAACCGGAGCAATTGGGACTCTTGCTGCTGCCGCGGGCATAATCCTGCGCCTGAACCGTCTGCAGCAACTGGGCATCCGCCTCGAGATCCGTGTACTTAAAGGCGCTGCTCAGGAAGTACGAATTGGAATCGGACAGATCCTCGGCGGCACTCAGTTTGCCCAAGCGATTAAGCTCCACGCTGATGGGTGTGTCCTGGGTCCAGTCCACGGCATTTCCATCGCACACCTTACCCACATCTTCCTGGTCATCGGACAATTCGTCCGTGGGCGTTTTCGGCCGGAAGTGCAGCCAATCGCGACGAATCTCCGAGAGCAGCTCGTTGCAGATATCCAAACGCTGGCTGGAGGTGGGCGACAATCCGCCCAGGTAGTCCGCATCGGCATCTGCTTCCTCCTCGGCCGGCGGTTGGATAAACAGATCCTTGGGCCGCGGCGCGTGTAGCTGACTGTTGCGCAGATTTTGCAGGCGAATCACATCGGGCAGCTGGTTCAGGCAGGCAGCCGCATCCTCCTCTTCGGCGCGTCGGGCGGCCTTCATCTGTTGCTGCACCACCTGCTGCTGATGCTGTTGCGCCTCCAGCTCCTTCTTGACCGCCGTGTGCCGAATGATGCTGCTCAGCTGGGCGAGATTAACATCGTCCTCGGCCTCATCGTCCATGAGTTCGGGCACAGGCTCTTGCGTGGTGGACTGCAGGACAGCGGCGGCAGTGCGAATGCTGCTCAGCGGTTCATTGGAATCGTCGGCATCGATTAGCTCACGCTTTATCGTCTTGGCCACTTCCTCCACCGAGAGTGCACCGGACGACGTCGTCGTCGTCGTCGTGGATGCGGCTGCTTCCGCTGCAGCGGCTGCTTCCGCGGCTCGTGCTGCGGCCGCTGCTGCCGAGGTGGAGGCCACCGGTTGATCCCCCGAGCCGCCGTCCTCATCTGCCGTTGCCGTTGCTACCGCTTCCTGCTTTATCACATTGATTTTTTCGCTAATGCTAACATCCTTATTCATAACACTACTACTACTACTACTATTGTTGTTGCTGCTGCTGCTGTTGTTGTTATTCAACACGGTATTGTTGTTGTTGTTGGAACGGTGGTGGTGGTGCTGCTGCTGATGATTGGCTCTCGGTGTCTGCTCCAACCCCTGATCCTTGTTTTCCAACCGCTCTGGCGCCAGATTCTCACACATTTCCTTCTCCTTGCTCTCCTCCTTCTCCTTCTTGAGTTTCTGGCCCAGAACCATGGCCAATCGCTTGAGATACGCCCGCGGCAGTGGACCAAGTGCTGGCTTGGACTCCTGTTGCGGCATATTATCCTCGCCGGCGTTGGCCACCACCTCGGAGGATCGTTTCAGTCGCTTGGCGGCATTCTGTTCACGCAACTGCTGCTTCTTACGACGCAGACGGCGACGTTTCTGCCGCAGATCCAGCGAACTTTGGGGCAACGTAACAGCAGAACTGTAGATACCCAACCGCGAGACATTCTCATCGTCGGTGGGCAGGTCTTCATCCTCCACCTCCATATCGGGACACTCCTCCGACTCCAAATCTAGCTCCTTGCTCTCCTGATTAGGTTCCGTTCCCGCTGCTGCTGTTGCTGCTGGTGGTTTCTCAACATCACTGGCAGGTTCCACCTTTATCAGATCCGGAGGAGCAATTGGCTGCAACTCGCCATCGATGGGTTTTCCGGCTGGAAGCAAATCCACAACCGTTGGCGGTGAACTGGGCTTGGACAACGGCTCGGAATGCTCCTGCTTGAGCTTGTCACCGCCACACCGGTCAACCACCAGGCTCTCCATGACCGTGTAGTCCAGCTGCGACCAAAAATCGTCGAAATTCGTTGTGGCCCGGTCCAGGAGGATGCGACCGCCACGGCCCAAACGACGACGCGCGAACCCGATGCAGCGTGGCCTGTAAGATTAGCCCCGATACGGATTGAGTATGGGCATGGACATGGGCCAATTTAGATGGCAACAAACCTGGGATAGTTGAGAGAGGTCAGCGTGTAACGATATTTGGCATCCGAGCAGGCTCCACTGGACGGCATAGCCTCCTCATCCACATCGGCAGCGTCCCATGGCCACCGGCCATCTCGTTGACGTGTCTGCATCGAGATACAAGTGGAGAATAGGATTAAAATAAGTTTGTGGTTGCAGGAAGGAGATATTAATACTTACCGGCAGGTAAATACAGCTCGACTTGCGCCTAAATGCAAACGGCGCCTCCTCCTCGCTCTCGGAGCCCAGCTTGTTACCATTCTGGGCACCGGCGCCAAAGTAGTCCTCCTCCTCGCTATCCACAACCGAATCATTGGCCGCCGGCGAGGAGCTCTGCTGCCTGCTAAGGTGGTGCATATGGTGGGGCAGGTGATGAGCTGGAGATACACCGGCGGCGCTTCCCGCCGAAGCCGACAGGCCCGGCAAATACTGTTGTTGCTGCTGCTGCGATTGCTGGTGTTGCTGCTGTTGGGATGACTGCTGCTGCTGGTGTTGCTGCTGCTTATCGCGAGGCAATTTGTGCTTTCGCTTCTTGTACGGACGCTTCTCCTTGCGACTGCTACTCCCATTGCCGCTGCCACTGTTGATGCCATCTAATAAAAGACAATCAAAGGGTTAGAACGAATCCAACAAGAGTTAATATAGAGGTAATCCTTACCCATTGTCAGATTCGACGTGTTCAGGTACTGCGACGCTGATCCATAGACATTCGCATTGCCCGCCGCTCCAACGCCACCGCTTGGCAGCAGACCCGTGGGCAGGGCGGCCAGAATGGCACCAGCCGTTCCCACCGCCGCCGCCCCTTGTGAGTATTGATTCGTATACAAAGGATTATACGCGGGTCTGCAAGGATAAAAGCAAGGGATTTGCGTTACAATATTCAAGGGGTTTGAGAGTTCCTCGAAGGACTCACCTTGTATTCTTATACTGAGCATTCAGCTCGGAGTAGACAGCACCGTTGAAGTCACGCATCTCCACGCGCTTCTCAAAGATATTCACCGTCATCTTGAGATGATCCCGCTTCGTCTCCTCGCGTCGCCGCACCATCTCCAGTATAGTGGTAGCGCGCTGCAGGTCGCGTCTAATTTGGAGGGAACAATATTACAGGGATTAGTCAAGGGATCAGGTAAAGAGATGTGTTGGGCTATAAACATATGCTGGCTAAAGGCAGCTTGCTACCTAGATGGTTTATATGGAAATCTGAGATGTACAAAAAGGTGAAGAAAACCTTTTTAGGGGAACATAAGCTAGTTCTTAGTAAGATGCTGCAAGTAAGCAACAAATTTAACCTATTTTTGAGCAATAAATGCAAATAAATTAGGGAAACTAAGTTTGAGAAGCCAAAGACTATGAACTCTTGCAGTTAAAAATTGAATCATAGGATCGTATCGGATATTGATCAGATCATAACTATGTTAAAAATTGATCAGATCATAACTATGTTTAAAATTGATCAGATCATAACTATGCTTAAAATATTCGCAATTTTGAATTGGTATTTAAAGATATTTTCAAATGGGAAGTTTTCCGACAAATCAAAGTTAAAAAAACTCATAACTAAGACAAAAAATCATTAATTTGAATACGAAAAGTTTTCCTGTTACTTTAAAATTTACAAGAATTAAAATTTTGATCAATTTTGGACAATTTTTACGACCCGCGCCCTTAAAATGTTGAACAAAATTATCGAAATTTTATTTTATCTAAAATATAGCTAGATCGATTCGGCTGTTAATGCTGATCAACAATATATATAATTCATAGGGTCGGAAATGATTCCTTTAAACGTTACAAGCTTCTGAATAATTAAAATACTTGGCAAGGGTAATCTATTAGTTAGTTTTGAATACTATACATCTTCAATTACTTGGCTTGAGAACTTTTCCAATTCATTGTGACACACACATGTGCAAGACGATCTACCTTAGTAGAATCGAAACCTCAGACATTATTCTTCTTGTAAATATGTAATATGAATCTTATAAACTCAAATAACTCATCACAACGAAAGGGAATACTCTCAACCATAGACTATCTGATAAAGGGTTCAATGACTAACCATATCAGAAGTACTAAGTACATTTAGCCAGCATTATTTATAATAGTAATAGTAAGAATCTCAACCGACATTAGGCGTATCATCACTCAATTTCTTACCGCAGCTTGAGCATCTTCTCGTAGGAGGCCTCATCGTTTTTGCGATTCTTGCGGGTCTGCATTTTTTCAGTGCGACGACGGAAAGCCAAATACGGGTTGTTGGAGCTGGCGCCGGGACGACTCTCTGTCTTAACCGTGAGGATCAGCGGGTGTTGCTATAGAGAGAGCAAATCACGTTCAAATAAAATTGATTTATGGAGTGTAAAGAAAACAGGGTTACTCACCATCTTGAGGCGCTTGTTCAGCCAGTAATCGTAGACGGATATGCTGGTCTCATCGTCCTGATTGAGCAGAGACTTTGCCTCGTTTAGCGTGACCACTGTTTGGCCAGAGCTCTTCTCCAGCCGGTCCATCATCTGCTCAAACTTCAGTTCGGTGAGCTCCAGACGCTGCTGCTGGCTGAGCCAGTCCTCATCAGCGCTGTCCATGTCGTAGTCGGGCACCTCAGTGTCCAGCCCAAGCGCTAAAGTTTTATTCAAATATAAAGTTAATTTAAAGGTTCCCTTTGAACTATAAAGGCAATAGCTTACGTTGCATATGGATCATTTGGCGGGGCATCTTGTAGTCCGGCGGATAGTAGGCATCATAAAAGGGCTGATCCGTTTGCAGTACCTCGGGCGTGGGGATGATCAGGCCCGTGCATATAGCGCGTTGCAGATGGTGTTCCTAAAGGATCGCAAAACTTAATTAGGTTTCGTCTTTAACATGGGTGAATTATGATCAAACTTACCGACTCCTCCTCCTTCTCCATGCCACTGGGCATCTGCGGCACCGCCCGATTGATGGCTGAGTACTCGGGCAGGTCGGGCAGCTCCTCCGCCAAGTAGATGGGCATCTGCTTGGACGGATCCAGGTGGCGGGCTCTGAACGATAGCTTCGACATCTTGGCGGTTATTGCTGATGATGCCTCGCTTGGTTGTGAGAGTTTTTGTGGGCTGTGTGGTTGGGTGGTGGTAGTGGTGGTGGTGGTGGTGGTGTGTGGAACGTTTTCTATTTGCTGTGGCTCTGATGCGGAATTGGCTGCTTAGGTTGCTATAGATGCGGCTACGGCTACTCCTACTCCTAGTCCGGCTGTCCAACTGCAGTTGGCCAACGGCAGCCAAGGATTTGTGCTGCTGGAGCTACTGCTGCTGTTGACTCTACTCCGATGCGCTGGCTTCGTTGTTGGCGTTGCTGCTGTGCCTGTGCCGGCTCCTGCTTCGGCTCTTCTACTCACTATTGAGGGTGCTGTTAGCTGGAGATGATGCTCCTTGCGGATGCGAAACTGCTCCTGATCCTGCGCCGATGAGTTAGCACCGGGGCTGCGGTGGCTGTGGCTGCTCTGCCAGCTGGTTAACGCAGCCCCTGTGCCCGTTCCCCTGGCAGACGTAATGCCACTGCTGGTGCGGATCGGGTGTGGATTAGCAACTTTGGTGGCTATATACGGTGTGTCCCGATCTGGATCCGTTTCGACACCCTCCCTCAACCCCGCCGCCTCGAGCTTTTGCTCCTTCGCTCCCGCTCTCGCTCCCTCCTCCTCCGCCTCCGCCTCCGCCCGCCGCTGCTCTACCTGATCCTCGTGGATTTTGGCGGACAGCGCCGACAGTAGGAGAATGGCCAAGGATGCGATTTGATTGCAATTACGACGACAACGCAGTGGTAGCAACAACAACAGTGACAACGGCGACGGCATTTTTCACGTTGAAATCGAAGGTGCTATGTGAATTGGCATAATTACGTTCATCAAATTTGCACATTTCAGTTCATCATCGTTTTTTAGCGTTTTGTCGAAAGTGTAACTCTCTTCTCTTCACTTCTCTTTCTCCACACTCTTCACACTCTTCAATCCCTCTCACTCTGCTTTTTTTCTTCTTTGTTTTTGTTGTTGTTTATAATTATTGATGCTTCTTCTTCTGCTTGTTATTCTTATTCTTTGCGTAGTTGCTGCTGCTGTTATCGTCGACTGATAAAAATCTACAAAAGAAATAGGGACAACAACAAAAACTAGTAAGTAAACAATGCACAGACACACACGTACACCACTTAGAAGTACATCACATCATATCATATTTATATATATGTATATATGTGTGTATATGCATTAGGGAGCGCGCGCGGGAAAAACAGAGTGGCATTTAAATATATATTTTTGTTGCTCTGGCCGGGCTTTAAATTCAAAGAACACGCACAAAAACATGTACGCCTTTGTGCGGCGCTATGATTCACTGCCGCCGCCAGTTTCATTTCTCATTTTTTCTGTTATTAAATTGCGAAAAATGCCAAATCATAGAAAGCCGAAATAAAAAAGGCGGCATAAACAAACACACGCGCGGCGACAGCAGACTCAAACAAACGCGGCGAATTGCACGAAGTGGAAAAAACACGAAGCGCAAAACACGACGAAAAAGTGGAAAAAAAGAACGGAGAAAAACTCCGCCTCATGTGGGTTTTGTTTTTTACATTTAATGGCTTAATTGATGCTCCGCAATCGGTTGCGTATGTATTTTCAGGCAGGGATTAATTTTTCACACACTTTACCGCACTTTTCATGCACCAGCGAGCGCAATTTTGTTGATAATTCGCTCGAAAATTTTACACAAAAATCCCGATTTTGCGTATAGCGTGGTTTTGCTGGAAAGCAATAATGGCGGCCAGAGAGCCGAACACCGACGACGCTGCGGGCTGCTGGGCCGCGATTAACGGACGGCGACGGCGGCGATAACAACGAGCGGCGAGCTCGAGGCGGCAATTTATTTGCCTTTATTCGGCACAGAACTGTCACTAACTGTTAGATTAAATATTTATAATTATGCCGTTTATTTTTTGGCAGCATGCATTGCTCGTGTTTACACATGAAAATTGCATTTAGTTATGTCGATGTTATCGATACATCGCCGTTGGTTTGCGGAATATCGCGGCCTGTCTCTCCGAAGCAACTCCGAATGTTCCGTTGGCGCCCCCTGGCGTGCTCTTCCCGCACTAAACGAAATGCTGCATGACTTTTTTTTCACAAACAAAAAAATCGATTTAATTTTTTCACGCACATTTTTCACACTGATTTTGGCCTGGCCAAGCCTTCAATGGGCCAAAATGATGCGAATTTTTGCTTAATTACCACTGCCGCACCGTTTCCAGCTATATTCAAGCAGTTACGCTAGCGCAAACGATCGAAATTGTTCTTCAACAGCGGGACACGTAAAAACGTGTAAAACTTAATGGGCGGCCACCACGAATGAGATTTTCGGAGTAGTCGGAGTCGTGCAATCGTCGCAAATGTGACGAAATTATTTTGGCTACCCCTCCGGGCGAATTAATGAACCAAATCGAGTGCGGTTTTCGGCTAAATCAGGGGATTTTTTGTGTGGGGTCGCATACATGCATTGGGATTGTTGGAGCCCAGCTCCATTTGTTTAATTTGTTGTTAATTTACGCAGCCCCCAAAATGCCAGCTGCCAGCTAGTGGTGGCCGATAATTCGGAGTGCGCAGGCGTTACGCTGTTTGTATCGTTTATCGGTGCGAGCTCATAAATCCGTTGGCTTAACGTAATGTACTAACGCTAACGCGTTTGAAATGTTTTTTACATGTAGAAATGAGGTGGGAACTACGTAACGTTATATATTTGAATTTTATGTAAAAAAGTGTATTAATGGCGGATTAAAAAAATTTTGTTTTATTTAATTTGCTTATTGATTTAAATAAAGTTTAAAATCTACCCCAAATACCAAATAAATTCGTTATTTCTTATTTTCATAATATTTATTAAATATTTGTTTCAAAAAACAGTATATTTTTCGTAGCCTTTTCCAAACATTTTAAGAAATGTACATTTCTCGTTTCGTTTAAATGCTTTTTCTTTATTATAATCTCTTACAAAGCTCTTCGTACTCGCTGTTTTTATTTCATTTTCTTAATTTTCTTTATTTGCTAGTTACAAGTGATTATTTTTTATAGGGTTAAAGGTGCTCTCGTAGACTTTTCCGCTTGTTTTGTTTTTTGAATATAATTTACTTGTTAGGTTTTTGGTAACAATTTCTGATTTAATGATTTAATTTGGCCAAGCGTTGGTTTGATTTGTTGAATGGCAATTTTATTTGTCCAGCAAAAAGCGAGTTGGAAGCACCTGCTTAGTAAAAAGTAAGCCTTAAGCTCTTGTTTCGAAAGCCCAAGAAGCAGAAGAAGCCTTTTTGATTTTGTTATTATTCCCGCGCCGGTGCCGATCCTCGAACGGTTTTTTTTTTTGCAGCTGCCTCGTCTCCATTTTTGGGGATTATATTTTCGGTTTTTGAGCATGTTTTTATTATTTTTTTAAGGCGTTTGCCGCACGGACGTTCACAATTACAGTTGGGGGGGCGCCGCGGCCGCCTGTTTCCAAATATTGGGATATATTTCGCAGGTGACAGGCGGCACTTGGCCCTCACTCTTTGGTTTCAGATGCTCGGCAAATGCACGCGCGCCTGCCGCCCACAATTGCCAGGCCCATCAGAAAAAAGGGGATTTCCCTTTTCCCTTTTTTGGGTATAATTCATATAATTTAAACTTTAAATTGCAATTGTGGAAACAGCTGTCGCGGCATTGCGACCACTGGGCATGGCTGCGATGGCGTACATGATGAAAAAAACATGTCAGACAGTGGTGTCGTATGTGAAAAAGCACCATTTGAGGGGGGGGACGGGGGGAAAGGGGAGTTGGCATTCTTTTCGGGGGCGTGGCACAGCTGTGAGCGAGAGAGGGAGAGAGGCACAGGATAGCTAAATTCCAATGCAGCTCTCTCTCTCTCTCTTTGTTGCTGGCTCTGGAATTGGTAACGGAACATATACCTGGCGGCCAGTGATGTCATTTCTCTGAGAGCAGAAAAAGCTAGATCAAAAATAAAATATATAAGCTAAAACCGATTTCCGCTAGAATATCGTTATTTCAAATATAATATATATATAATAATAAACTGTTTAAAGTTAATCTTAATAACTTTCAAAATGTACTAAAAGTACAAATAAAAAATCTGTTTAAATTTGCTAAAATAAATCTAAAATTCCCGCTGACCGTTATTTTCAATCACATTTACAAAAAAAGCCAAATCTGGCGGGAAATGACATCACTGGACCTGTTTGTGAGTGAGATAGTGAAAGTGCGAGAGTGAGAGTGAAAGTGGTGTGGTGGGAAGAGGTGAGAGTGGTGAACTGAGGTGGTTAACTCAATAGAAGAAAATCTGAATTATTTCTGCTAAATTCAAGATGGTAAAATCGAATAAAAATCAAATAATAAAAGCAACTGCTGATTCTTCTAGAGAGTTGGTTTCTTTTTTCTTTGGGGTTTTCTAAGTGTTTCCTCGCCTTTACTTATTTATGTTTTCTTTGCAATATTCAACAACCAATACCAATATCAAGTTTAATTTAGCTATTGGTAATAGCTATTATTGGTAAGATCTTTGATATTAATTTAGTGCTTTTTGTATTGTGAGGAATCTATGGATGTGAAGCTCCAGCCCATAAATATAGGGCTCTCGAAACGATGGCATCATAGTTACTTTACAAAGACTCTTTAGATCTTTTCTTTTTTGAGAAAAAAAAAACGCGCCTACGAGTAGTAAAAATTCACTTTGTGAGTTGTCTGTGGTATTCATGAGTGTCTTGATTGGGTTTTCTTCTAGGTGCTTCGCTAATTCTGTAACTGCATCGTACTTTCTGTATATATTTCGCTAACATTCAGTGAGTGTGTCTTCAGGTGTCATTGAGTGTTCTTATCTATTTGTTTTTCATTTTCGTTCTACAGGTGTGTGCCTCTAGTGGAAGAGTTTGTAGTACTATGTCTATGTGTAGTTCTGTTTTTGGAAGAAAGTTAGTAAAAAGAACAGAGTCGCAAGATCAAACAGAGTTGTTAGTACAATATAGTGAGAGAGAGATAGAGATATAGTTAAACGGATAGAAAGATATACAGAGAGATATATAGAGAAGGTACAGAGAAAGAGAAATATATAGAGAATGTTGTTGTTGTTGTTGTTGTGGGCGCTGCTGAGAGAGAGATAGAGAGATGTTGAAGGAACTACAAAAAGTACTAAATTAAAATAAGTTTTTTTGTTTTTGCACTACAAATCCAAGTGTGTAAGTTTTTCAACTTCATTGCCTCGTTGTTTATTAATGTTTTGTTTTTGTTTTTATTTGTATTGTTAGTAAACTGTTTAAACGCATTAACCGTCAATCAATCAATCAAATACTGGTTATAAGAATATTGTCAACATTCACAAACCAAAATCGGTTAGATAGTTAGTGGTTAAATATATATGTATATATATAAGTTTATCTGTTTATCGAACAAACCAACATACCAGGAAAGCAAGAAACTATACAAATCGAAACTCAAAAAAAGAAATGGTGTAAACATTGCATTTTCGGGGATTTTTTCGCTAAGTGTACGGGAAGGACAGGGGGAGGGGGCCTTGGGAGGGTGCTGGATCGAGTGTGTTATGTGAGTGTGTGTGTGTGTACCACCGAGATAGAATCCGATAATCCCATCCGTCTACGAGGCGAGGCAAGAAGAGCGAACTAAGAAAACGGTGCGCAACTGTACTTGACTTTTGGTTTAATTAATTTTTAATGGTTAATTGAGTTTAATTTCTTCTTCGGCTTGTGACTTACCTGGGCCCAAAAAGCAACGAAACTATATAGTTTTGCATGCTTCCCGGCTGGACGGAAATGGACAATCGATCTATTAAGCATTTTTTTTTTTTTGGTTTTTGTTTTTGTTTAGTAACTAAAGCCAAGTATAGAGGGGTAAGTACGTATTTTACAAATGCGTGGGCAAAAGTGCACGAATGTTGAAAATTTGAGTAGTTAAGTGAGGTTGAGTAGCAATTAGGTAAAGCAAATCGAAGCCAAAAGGTTAATAGTAAATTTTGCTAGATATATTATATAGATAATATGTATGGTAAAAATGGTTGTTTATTAGCCAATTCAAGTTCAATTATACAAACGAAAACGGTTTACGCTTAAAATACAAAACTTCAAGTCGAATACTCTAGTCGAGATGATAATCATAACCATTATTAATTAATTCATAATAACATTAATTCAAATTCGAATAAATGTAAATCATAAGCTATGTAAGCTACAAGTTCCGATTCGATTCGATTCGTTTTTTAAAACTATCACTAGCATGAATGAGAATTGAGTCAATTTCAATTTCACAATGATGGGGGTTCTTTTGGGTATCGGGTTTTGGGTTTTTGGGTTTTTGGGTTGGGGTTTGGGATGGGATCATGGGACATCTTCTACTTACGAGCTAATTATCACTTGTTGAACATAAACCAAAGGGACCAAAGGGTGATCGGTACTTTATACAGTTTTTGGTGCTGGTGGCAGATTGTTCTATGAGGCTCTAACTAACTACACTAAGATCGATATAGGCTACGGTCTCATTGTTGCTTCGTTAAGTGATATGATGCGTGGGGATTTGAACCGAGAGTACAGCTTAATGGCTAGGATATCTAGGGATACAGAGAGAGTATTAACAACAAATCATCAACGTGTGTGAGTGTATGTTATGCATATTTATGGAGTTTGTTTCCGCTTTTCCGACTTTGGAATAAACAAGATGAGCAAATGTTCCACTTGGTCTCACTTGGTCACACTGGCAAATACTTTTGGGATGATCTTTGATATATTTGTCGGCATTATTTACAGGCCAAAAGTAATTGGCGCGTTATTCCAAGTTTACATATGATTTGGTTTTTAGATTTCGTTTTAGATTTAGATTTTAAATTTGTTTAAGAACTAAGATCTAGTGTGAATCGATTACTGATTACTTCTTATGGTTTTCGGTTTCGCCTTGTCCCTCTGGTCGGGGTCATTTACAAATGTAAGTAACAACGAAATCAAAATGTAATAAACACTACGATTCCTACTTAAGCGCTACATGCTTCAGCTTTAGCATCAACAACATGCAATTCAAATACCGATTACTGTGATATTCGATTCGATTCGATTCGATCTCAAGAACTCTGTGCATCCAAAGCTGGCTTTTAAAGTATCTTTTAGTGTATCTAGTGTCTAGTGTCTAGTGTGTATATTTGGGAAATAGAAAGCCTTCTGGTCTGTAGAAGCTTTGGATTGCATTCACATTCCTTGGATCGGGTTCTCGAGCTATAGCTGGGTGCTGATCAAACTACACAGGAGCCCGTCTCTTCATAAAACTGTGTTTTGTGTGCTCCAAAACAAATCAATCGTAATTGTAATCGTAAATCGTAAATTGTAAATTGTAAATCGTAACCGTAATTAAATCAAATCAAGCTACAAATCATACGCTTAGAGAGTTAGATAGAGAGAGATATTTAAGGAGGATAGAGAGAGAGAGAGAGAGAGATAGTGTGAGTGAGAGTTTGTGTAGGATTACTCTTGGTGTTGTATGTGTCTGTATGGTGTGGTCTGAGTGGTTCTGGATGATCCTAACACTTTCTATCTGCTGAGCAATTGACCCATTAGCCATGTCACTGCCACTGCGATGGGTATGAGTTGCAGCTGGCAGCCGTTAGTGTGTAAATTTTTACTAGAATTGCACATATCTTCCTCACAAAAGCACATATGTCCATTGCCTGAACTTTCCATCATGCACACGTGATCGACCATGAATAAATTGATCTGTAACTGTGACGTACACATGCGCCGCACCACCTCGTACGCTAAAATATAGATCGAGAGAAGAGGGGAGAGAGAGAAAGGACACGCAAAGCCAGATCATGACGATCAATCAGTTAGGGTATTATTTTATAATAAATCAAAGTTTAATAGTTTTTTAACGGTTGCCAGTTACTCACGTGATCTCTGATGCCGCACCATCTTTACGCAGCAACCGTTGCAGGTCATCAAGGGGGGCTGGTCCCGTGGCAAGGCCGTGTAGTTGAAGGGATCCTATGGAAATAATCTCTGAATAAATCTATATAAATCATAAGCTATGAGTATGCCCACCTTGCAGCGGGCATCTGTCCAGGAATCGCACTCATAGCAATAAATCGATCGCGCTATATGAAAATATAACTCATTAATATCTCATACTCAAAAGATAGCTTCTGTTCTTAGCTTCTCATTTTCGACTAGTTTGAGGTTAGGTTTATTAAAGGGTACAGTAACGACAAAACGTGCAACACACAAAAGCATGCCAAGGACTTGCCAACACAAAACAAACAGCAGGCTAAAAACATTTATCGATACCAGTTTTAAAATTATAAAGTGATTTTTTGTTGCGTTACTAATTGGAATCGTTGTGGGTAATTTGAAATTTGTTGGAACAGAAATAATAATATTTAACAAAACTCTAACTATCCTACATAAATTCTTGGCAAAGTAAAGATACAAAAATAAAGAGAATCGAAGATATGTGTGGGATTTATTAAAGGGATGCGCTTCTCAAGGGGAAAGTGTCTTTTCTAGGGCATGCACTCACACTCACATACCGATACACCACAAACAGACACACACACAAAATATTTAGGATAAAAGATCGATATTCTGGATAGAGTTAGCTTCAGAACTTGTTCGTTACTTGACAGGAATACTTTATACCTTCTTTAATCTATATCTCTTTATTTACTGAATAATAAGCAGTTCCGAAACCTACTGTACCACAGAGTTACTCCGACTCAATGAATTTTCATAGGATAGTTTAAATGAAGGTTGTTTTTTTCTTTAAATGTAATTAAAAAGACAAAGCCTTGCCTGGGTGCGAAACTTAACTAGAGAAAAAGTGCAACAGAAGGTAAGGTGAAAAGTGAGGAGAGAGTTTAAAGGGGATGCCCCGAGAACTGAACGATAATTGATTTATTCGAGGCAAAGCTTTAGAGATGAGCGGGAGATAGAGATAGAGAGAGCTCCGATATCGCTCGGATATACGAGAAACGAAAAGATCTTAAGTAACACTGATAATCCAAAAATATTCCTTTATAATTCATTGCGAAACTCGAACCGGCTCGAGTTTGTTAGAAATAGATAATACATATACTTAACATATGCATGACTCTTATTATCATATTATTTTTGATGTATTTTTTTGTTTTTGGCAAAAAAGGTAATCGATAGGTTTGTAAGCAAATTCAGTTTTGAAAAGGCAATGGACTCATACTTTGACATTCGGCTGAGGCCTGCGGAATCCATATGAAAGTTAGAAATCCGAATACGGCTGCAAATAAACAATGGAAGAGAAGAGAGCAAAGTAGAAGTGGGCAGTAGAAGGAGCACGAACTGAAGGAACCGAAAATCAAAAAGGGCGTAGCTATTTGCTCCGTGACAGGTACAGTTGCGTTCCCATTCCAGGCTCAACTGTACCTGTCATTGAGCTGTTGGAGTATTGGAGTTTTTTGGAGAGGGAAGAAAGTAGAGTTGGTGGTGGGTGGTTGGTGAAATGTCGACACTCTACACACGCTGGGGATTACGTATACACTCGATCGTTTCTGTGCACACACAGTGTTCCAAATGCCATTCGTTTCCACCGCCTACTTAAGAGTATTACTTATATATATATATATGTATATTATTATACCAAGGTGAGAGACGACAGTGTTGTAAAAGGCACAGAGGAAAGACAATTTACAAATTACGTTTACATTTTTTTTTTTTTTGGTGTGAACTTCACTGCAACTCAAGACGCATACGTGTTGTTTATTGTTTTGTTATTGTTGTTGTTGGATGTGACCAAGGAATATGCAATATATATGGGTTATATAGAATGTATATAGAGTACAGACAGCTGCTTATAGTCGATATATAACGGCATTTACAATCAACGGCACGTACGAAACGAAACCCATAAAGGAAAATCAAACGAAACTCAAATCGAACGCAACAATTTCTCTTTGACGTTGTTTTTTGTTTTTTTTTTTTTTACAGGGGATTATTTTGGTAGTTTTTTGTTTAATATTAGTACAAAAACTTAAGGCAATTTTGTTCAAATCGAAGTAAAGGGGGGTGGTAGAAGGAAATCATACGCAAAAAAAGGAAACTTACTTGGAAAACAATTATCGGTGGTAGCGAATTTTGCCAATGCCAAAAAAACTATATGTTTTGATTTTTTTTGTTTACCGATGGAAAATGAAATGAAATAAAAACAACAATGTACAAAAATGTTTTCAATCAAATTCAATTGAATAAGAGTGGATGTGGCTTAGCAGCTACTGATAAAAGCAAATGAAAATCAATCATTCCGCAAAAGGTGCCCTATCTAAACAGCTTTTCTTTCGATCAATCAGTTGGCACTTGGATGGAATTTCCCTAGAATTTCATTCATATTTTGTAAATTAAATGGAATTTAATGGCTGAGAAGTTTATCTCTCAAGGATATGGAATGATAAAATTGACTTGTTGTAATTGTATTTAAAATATATCTAAAGCATCTTTAGAGTATTCTCTATTTAGTTTTCTTATTTTCCCTGTGGCCTGTTTTATTACTAAGCATCTCATAATGATGTATGCTATACAATTTTCCGATTCTATTCTTTGATCTGTGTGAGAATACGATTTGATGGTCCATAAAGCAGCTGGAACTTATGCTGGCTCTTTTGTTTATTGCTTCGCCTTCTGTGTTTACCATTCATATTCGCTATGGTGTTGACCTTTGTTCATTAATAAATATTATATGGTTATTTCTCTATTGCTGTATCTGAGAGATATTGTATCTGGATATATTGTTGATGCTACTGTGTGTGTTTTTGCATTGGGTGAGTGAAGGGTTTACCTGTTACGATTAGCAGCCAATTGCCAAGAGAGGCATTGCCCTGATTCCACATCCTGGGGATATTCCAACGACTCCACCCACCTGTAAGGATTATTCTTTGGTATTTATTTATTTATTATATAGATTTATTTATAATTACTCACCTCTTTGTGGGTCTTAATTATGGTATTTTTATACTTTAATTGCTGCTCTTAGCTCTCCTCTCAAGTCCTGCTCCTGTAGGGAAGCATTGCGCTGCCGTCACTAAAAGTTTATGATTTATATTTTAAGTATCAATAAATATGTGACTGAAAATTATACAAAATTTAGCTCATAAACAAGCTCATTTTCAGCTCTTTAAAAATATAATTGCAGCTTTAAATCTCTTCACAAGTTTCCCACTTTAAAGTATCTCTATTTATATATTAAATCCCCAAAAGAACCTCAAAAAATTAACACCTTCCCCAGTTACTCTACTATTTATGGCTCTTTAATGGTCCGCAAGAACGAGGGTCGCCCCTAAAGTTTCGGTCTATGATTTGTGGCTTCCAGTTTTATGGCGACACTTTAAGTTGCACACACAGTAAAAAATATATAAATATATGGCATATATTATATATAGATTGTATAGATAGAAGTGGATCAAAAACGGGGCCCTATAAATAGAGTCGCACAACCTCTAATAAGTGTTCTAGGTCAGTCGGTGTGTTGTTGTGTGTGTGTGTGTGTGTGCCGAGTGTGTGTGGGCGGAGTTCAAGTCATGGCTGCTGCTGATGTCAATGGATTTTCAGACATTTTATTTCGGTTTCGGTTTTGGTTCTTCACAAAATGTGATTGACCGACTAGGAATCATCGCACACACACTTCACTTGACGGTTCTCTGCATTTTGAAACACACATTTCGTTCGGTTCGAATGAATTTATAGTGGCATTTTTTGCATTGAACTTTGGCAAAGTGTCAAAATAATGCGAGGGCGACTGGCAAAGCGAGGGGGAATTGCTGGGGTAAAGCAGACAAAAACTATTTATATTTATATGTGTGCCACAGCTAAGAATACTCATTAAGCGGATGGATATTGAGTGGGAAACGATTGAGTGAGGGGATACCCTGGATTGGGGATGGTTTTGAATTGGTAATATAACTAGAAATGAAATTATTCAGTTATTACTGAAAGAATATAGAAAATACTTGTATTTAAAATACATTTTAAAAGAGTCCAATTTAATTTACAATTCAAACGTTCATAGAAAAACCGATGGTTTTGCTGACCAAAAGTATTGCAAAACATATTTAATTTATGATTTAAATTCACAGAAGAATGGAATGGAAATGATGTCCTTAACTATTTAAGTTAGAAATAGTTTTATACAAAATCAAAGTATTATAAGTATCAACAATTTATATTGCGAGACAAAAAGTAATTATCAAAATGATAGTATTACTATATTTTTCAAGAGGTTTAACATTATTAATTTTGCTTTAAATTTTTCTAGTATTTTTGGTGAACTTGGTATACTGTTTTTCTATTATATGTAGTATTATTATTTATTATATTTTCTGGAACTTGAATACCAATTAATTATAAACTATTTACTGAACAAAATAAAAGTAAATTTCAACAACGTTGAAGTCTTATTCGAAAAAGAAAAAAGTTATCATTTAGACCTAAGCCTAGTCAAAGTCATAAACCTTTATAAAACCAAGGCATCAATTGTGGAAATTATAGAAATATAGTTCATTCTAAAAGGTAATTTAATGAACTAAATAAAAAGTTTTAAATCCTTTGACCAATCAACCCATATACCCCTTTGGCAATAAATGTGATCATCTGATCGTTAAACTGCCTCAGCTGGCTATTCCTATTTTTCAGGTTAAGGCTTTGGCTTGGCACCACTAAATTTAGCACAATGTTCCGCCAATATTGAGGCACTTTAGCACTGCTCCTCCTGGCCAGTGGCAAGTGGGTCAAAATGTGGTTCAGTGGCCATAGCCACCATCGTTCAACAAGTGTTTGCAATGCCGCCCCCTGTTTTCAGCCATGGTTCACATTTCATTGGGTCATTCATCACAACATTTTAATGGCACTAACGAGCTAATTGCAGAGTGGGTCATACAGCAGTAGCATCCCGGCCAGGATTTGGGTGGAACTTCGTCTCAGAGTTAGGATACTGTGTCCTCGATAAACTTGCCTTAGTCCCGGAGTTACTGGCTAACTGAAGTTGGCCTTTCGTTGGCCATGTTTCGTGTGCTGGCCCAAACACACGCGAATATTGATTTTGTGTGTGCGACTGCAGCCTCTTCACTTTCCTTTCTCACTTTTCCTTTTTACACTTTTCCTGCTCGGCTATGGCCGCTGTTTCATAATACAAAATACACACGGATCGATTGGGCCAGAGAGAGGCTTAACTGGGCCAAGTTATTCAGCCTTTAAGGCCTAATGCAATTTGCATTCGACGACCCTCGTTGCGGTTGCGGTCGCGGTCGCTTCGATTTTTTTTGTCGCCACGATTTTCCACTGTGTTTTCCACTGTGTTTTCCTATCGATTTCGCTCACAACACTTCTTATTCTTTGGCCTTTGATTTTATTGTGAGGGCTTTTCATTAAACCCTCTGCTTTGGCCAATTGTTTAATTCACTGATTTGTTGCTAGAAGTTTTTGTTGTTAGCAATTTCTGCTTGATTTTTCAGTTATTTATTTGTGTTTTTTTTTGTTCTTAGCACAAGCAACACGCAACGACATTGACAACGACTGCGACCGTGCGGATTGGATTTTCCGATTTTCCCTTTACGCTTTTTGACAGTTTTGGCGCATGACGCTTTTGACGTATGTTGCGCTGCAGCTTTTCCGCATACGCAGTGTTGGGAAAACCCAAAGGAAAAGCTTTTAGCATAAGCTTTGAAAGGCGGTAATTTTAAATGGGAAAATTTTAAACTAAATCGAACATCGAATCGAAAGTTCAGAACTTTTTTAAAGAACTTATTTTTTTTCAATAAAAAATTTACTTTTTTAAACCTTTTAAGAATAATTAAAATATAACAAAAAAGGAAGCTAACTGATATAGTAGTCAGATTTTCATAAAATTTTACACAAGAATATATATCTTTATATGTTTGGAGATGGCTCCTTCACTGCGTTGCAAACTTCTAACTGAAATTATAATACCCTGCAAAGGTATACAAAAGAACAACAAAATAAACAATGAGACCTTCCCTACGCTTCTAAAAAAACCAAATTGTGTTTGCCTCTCATTTACTCTCACTCAACAATAATACTTTCCTCTCTTTCACTTTCTCAAAAAAGTGCCCTCCTCTGCGATTCTCAACCAATGTACTTAAGCACCTTAGCAAAAACAATTTTTATTGTTCTTCTTCTTGTTCCTTTTAAAGTTTCTAATTAAATTTGAGTTTAAATATGCTATATTTTTGATTAATTTTACAGATTTATAACATTTTTTTACTAACTCAAATTCTGATTCATCCAAAATAAACAATGAGACCTTCCTTCTCAAAAACCAAATTGTGTTTGCCTCTCATTTACTCTCACTCAACAATAATACTTTCCTCCCTTTCACTCTCTCAAAAAAGTGCCCTCCTCTGCGATTCTCAACCAGTGTACTTAAGCACCTTAGCAAACACAATTTTTATTGTTCTTCTTCTTGTTCCTTTTAAAGTTTCTAATTAAATTTGAGTTTAAATATGCTATATTTTGATTAATTTTACGGACTTATCACATTTGTTTACTAACTCAAATTCTTATTCTTCCAAAATAAAGAATGAGACCTTCCTTACGCTTCTCAAAAAACCAAATTGTGTTTGCCTCTCATTTACTCTCACTCAACAATAATACTTTCCTCTCTTTCACTTTCTCAAAAAAGTGCCCTCCTCTGCGATTCTCAACCAGTGTACTTAAGCACCTTAGCAAACACAATTTTTATTGTTCTTCTTCTTGTTCCTTTTAAAGTTTCTAATTAAATTTGAGTTTAAATCCAACCTTTGGCTATTGTAAAATCTGTGTTAAATCAAAGTATCCAAACCCAATTACTGCTAAACAAAATTCCGCAAAAACAGAAGCCAACTCCGTGGACTTGCTTCTGGTACTCCACCAAGCGTGCAGGGAGAGTGTAAGTAACAACAAAAACAACAACGTACATTTACATAAATTCTAGTTCATCATAAAGAAAAGAACAGCACCTAAGAGTCAATATTTTATATTCTCGATCAATTTTACAGATTATAACATTTTTTTACTAACTCAAATTCTGATTCTTCCAAAATAAACAATGAGACCTTCCCTACGCTTCTCAAAAAACCAAATTGTGTTTGCCTCTCATTTACTCTCACTCAACAATAATACTTTCCTCCCTTTCACTCTCTCAAAAAAGTGCCCTCCTCTGCGATTCTCAACCAGTGTACTTAAGCACCTTAGCAAACACAATTTTTATTGTTCTTCTTCTTGTTCCTTTTAAAGTTTCTAATTAAATTTGAGTTTAAATATGCTATATTTTTGATTAATTTTACGGACTTATCACATTTGTTTACTAACTCAAATTCTCATTCTGCCAAAATAAAGAATGAGACCTTCCTTACGCTTCTCAAAAAACCAAATTGTGTTTGCCTCTCATTTACTCTCACTCAACCATAATACTTTCCTCCCTTTCACTTTTTCAAAAAAGTGCCCTCCTCTGCGATTCTCAACCAGTGTACTTAAGCACCTTAGCAAACACAATTTTTATTGTTCTTCTTCTTGTTCCTTTTAAAGTTTCTAATTAAATTTGAGTTTAAATATGCTATAATTTTGATTAATTTTACGGACTTATCACATTTGTTTACTAACTTAAATTCTCATTCTTCCAAAATAAAGAATGAGACCTTCCTTACGCTTCTCAAAAAACCAAATTGTGTTTGCCTCTCATTTACTCTCACTCAACAATAATACTTTCCTCTCTTTCACTTTCTCAAAAAAGTGCCCTCCTCTGCGATTCTCAACCAGTGTACTTAAGCACCTTAGCAAACACAATTTTTATTGTTCTTCTTCTTGTTCCTTTTAACTCTTGGCTATTATAAAATCTGTGTTAAATCGAAGTAACCAAACTCAATCCCGCTAAAAAAGAAGCCAGCTCCGTGGATTTTCTTCTGGTACTCCATCAAGCCTGCAGAGAGATGGTAAGTATCAACAAAAACAACGTCTCACATTTACATCGGTTGTGTTACAAAAGTTGCAAGTCATTGTTTATTAGTGTTCATAGATACTTACTGGTCATAGTTACTTCCTGTTCATTGCTACTTACTGTTCAAAGATACTTACTGATCATAGTTAATAACTGCTCATAGTGACTTACTTCTCATAGTTAATTACTCATCATAGTTAATTACTGATCATAGTTACTTACAGTTGAAAGATACTTACTGTTTAAAGATACTTCCTGTTAAAAGATACTTACTGATCCTCTACATTTATTAACCGTTTCTCTGGCAGTTAAACCATCTCAATTAACTCCATTTCGATCTCCTTAAAACTTCTATAAATTAAACTAATAAACTATCATATTTTAATTAATGTTTTTTCCACTTTATTGTGAACGGATGAGAATACAAGTAATTGTTTTTTTGCTTTTTAGAATTTGCATTTGTTTTAGGGGCAGCTTAGACATTTAAATATTAGTTAAATAAAAAATGAACTTTTCATGAATAAATACACATAAATACACACGAACGGGGGGAAGTACACGACATAAGTATATATGATAGACACTGCAATGAATGGGTTCTCGAAACCCTTTTCCCTTTCTATAACTCTCCAGATTCGAGTCGCTTAATTTTCCTTAATTTCTAAGCATAATCGCGAGCTCCTTCCAATTTGCGCATCTGTAAAATATATATAGAAAATGTAATAACAAAAGAGTTAAATGTGAGCTTACGGTTTTGTTAAATAAAACAGGGATGCAAACCGATTTCAAATTGAGGATAGGTTTCGCTACAGGTACGGTTCATGACACTTCTCAGAGGGGTTTACATTATATTTTTTTGGCATGCAGGTTGTTAGCAGGTTGTTTTAATAAACGAGTATTTGCTAAAGCGATACAAAAATATATCATTTTAGAAAATTATTAATTTCAGATAGCCATTAATTGCATTTTTAAAAGGTATAGGTTTGAGTTTTAAAAGGGTTATATGCTTCTGTGTCTAGAAATCATGTTCAACTAATTTAAAATCTCTTTAAAAAGTGTCTAAAAGTTTATATAAAATATTTCTCTTAGACACTCCTTGGGCAATATTCAAAAACTTGAACGTAGAATATATTTTTTAATCAATGAACCGAACCGTAATGAACTGAAACCTTCGTCATTTGAGTTTTATTTTCTTGGGTTCTAATCGCGGTTCGGTTTGCCTCCCTGAAATTAGTAAATTCATAGTATTTACAATGCGGATGAGAGATGTGTCTGTGCGTGTATGAGAGGTGTGAGTGTGTGTTACAAGTGATCACTGATCACTGATCAGTAGAAGGACTCCTCGCTCCAGGCGCTTATCAATCGTACTCTCACCTCACGTTCGTCGGCATGCGTTCGGTACTTCTCCGCCGCCTCGTTCGTCTTGGGTGCCGGCTTCGCCTCCAGGACTTGGGTGTACAGCAGGGCGGCGGTCACGCCCCCCAGAATGGGTCCAGCCCAGTAAACCCAATGGGAGGACCAATTATCAGTGGCAAAGGCAGTGCCCACAGTGCGAGCAGGATTCATGCTGGCTCCAGTATAACGAATCGTACCCAAATGACCCAAGGTCACGGCCATGCCAATGGCCAGGGGGGCAGTGTACCGGGAATCCGGTTTATTGGCATCACAGGCACCGAACACCACCAGGACCAGGAGGAGCCCCAAGAAGAACTCAATGCCCAGACCCTGGAGCTCAGTGATATTCGGAGCCAAACTGGTGTGACCCAGGCCATTGTAATAGTCGCGATCGATGAGGATCTGTGTGGAATAAGGTAAGCTATTAATATTAAACACTTGAAGAACATTGACTAAATTATATTAAAAATTACTTAAAAAATTTATGTAAGCAAGGAACTAGTGAGAAAGAATATGTGAGGATATAAAATCAATAGAAATAGTGCTTAAAAGCATGGTATACATTTTGAAAATTGAGAAAATACAAAAGTAAATACCTTTCAAAACTATTCATCTTATTTAATTATTTAATTTTAACATTCTAATGTATCTTCATCCATTTTTAAAATATAACTAAGGCAAATCACACATTCAATTCAAGTATTATATTAACTATAAAATGCTTTTAATATATTTTTAACACTTTGAATGTGACGTTTTTCGCACTATTATTTTTAGAAAGTAAAACAATAGTTGAGCTAAAATTCAAGAATTTCACAATTTGAGTATGTACTTAAGTACTTATCATCGTCATGGCTTCATACACACTCGAAAGGGGAGCAATTGTCGAAGAACGAGACACTTTTTAAGCCACAGCCGGATGTGGGGTAATCAAAGCCGCAAAAGATAAATGACACAAGACCATTTTTAAAATATTTTTTGTTTTTGCAATTACGTTAACCATTTCTTTGGCTATTTATAACCTAAGAAATGATATAATCTTAATGAAATGGTAGGAAATAACTCACCCGGACAGCTGCAGTTCCGGCAATAGCTCCCAGACATTGGAAGATTACATAGAAAATGGCTCTGATGAAACTGATTCGTCCTGCTACCAACATGCCAGCCGTGACGGCAGGATTCACATGTCCGCCACTCAGATGACCCACAATCTGTTTATAATATATATTTTTATATAGTAATATTATTATTTAATTTATGGTTTAAAATACTCACCGTAATGGCCATGAAAATGGCCAGGCCAAAGGCCAGGGCCTTAAAGGTTCCATCCTGATCCTGTGTGCATGCACCGCAGGCAAAGAAATTAAGGATCAGATTGCCCAGAAATTCTCCAATCAGGGCCTGCCACAATCGCAGCTCCTTGGATTTGAGCTAAATAATATATAAATAATAGGTTTATACACAAAATATTTATGAAAATATTAATATAAATAAAAATAAACAACAAAAGTCAAAAGATCTTTAGGAAACCTACTAAGAGCTTTGCTTCATTATTAATTAGAACAAATATGGCTTCTTGGCCAAATTTATTTTATTTAATATTTTTGTTGAATCTCTTTATATTCAAAAATCATTATAATATTTAAATCCGAACTCACCTCATTGAGACCCAGTGAGTATTCGAACTTTCCCATCTTTTTCGCTTGGCTTTCCAACTGAAACTAAACAGACTGAAAGAAAGAAAGAAGGAAAACTATTAGTGAGCTCTTTTCTGGTTAGTAAAATGCAAATATTAATACGAATCGCAAATTGGTATTGTCATCAACATGGAAGTGGACAATTGTTGGACATGATGACCACTTTTTGCACTCATTTAAGGTGTGAAATTAATTTGGCCTTTGGTGACAGACTGAACTTCCGCTGCAATTGTCTTGTTTCCTAATTGGCTGACACTTTTGTCTGGTCGGAAATTAACATTTTTGACAGGTTTTACGGTTAGTTAAGATATTGGTTAAAATTATATGAAAAAGTACGAAAAAATGTGTATTTAAAAAATTATTTTGACATATTTCTGCATGGATTAAACGGTTTTAAGCTTAAGATGACATTATTAGCTTTATATTATATTTATTTTTCAGTTACAAAAATATTATTTTACTGAATTTGATATATTAGTTGTATTTTTCTGATAAAAGATATTGCCGTTTTTATATTTTTTATCTGTTTTGAATACTAAATATTATATTCTTTATATTCTTCGCATTTTTATACCTCTGGAGAGTGTAAAATAATTTTAGACAGTGAAGGAGTCATTTCCGACCCCATAAATCATATATATTCTTGATCAGAATTAAACGGCGAGTCGATCTAGCTATATTTTAAAGAAAATACATTTTTTCAAGTTTTGTCGATTTTTTTAAAAATAAATGTAACCCTTCATCATTAAAATTTCCGAAAAATGGCAACAATTTTAGGTTTTAAACTGAGTATGCAGATTTGTTAACCTCTTAAAAACTAACATAGGAAAGCAATCCGAATTAAAATTAATGAATTTTTGGCATAGTTATGAGATTTTTAGTCTTTGATGTGTAGGAAAAAATGTTCATATCAAAGTATAGATAAATATAACTGTTCAAAGAATGCTACTATAATTTCAGTCATTTTAAGTTTTTAAAATGTTAAACTGAGTATGCAGATTTATTGTCTTATTAACATAAAACATAGGAACGCTTTCCGAATTAAAATTAATGCATTTTTGGCTTAGTTATTAGTTTTTTAAACTTTGATTTGAACAAAAAAGGTCATAAAATTATAAAATAAAACTATATTGGCTTAGTTATGAGATTTTTAATCTTTTAAAAACTGTGCAAATGGAAACATTTCTAGTTTTCTTGAGTTCTAGTTAGAATATTCGTATTTTTTTTTATACAAAAACATTTTTTTCTTCATGTAATTTATATTTTTCTTATTTAAAATAATCTTTTCCTTATATTATTCGTATTTTCATGATAAAAACTATTATCTTTCCCACATTTATTTAGCCTTTTTTCTGTTTAAACTTAAGGTTCTTAGCTTAACCCCTTGTTAAAGTGTAAAAAATGGGTTATTAAAGGGGTCACCCCTCTTAAGTCAACAATCTCGATCTTATCGTCATTTGCAGCTGCCGGCGAGAAAATGTATATTTAAGCAAACAGCATGTATAATATTTAATTGGCAACGGGTCGTAAAAGTGAGGTAAATATTTGAGCGCAAGACCGGCAGAAAAGTGAACAACACTTGGGTTATAAACAGTTGAGAGTTGTAAGTGTTTAACTTGTGGTTAATTCTCCTTTTTTATAGAGTTGGAATCAGTATGGAATCAGTATGGAATCAGCTTGAAATCAGATGAGAATCAGACGAGAGACTGTATTTGCTTTGCTGTTCTTATTTGGGGCAATGCGGTCACGAACATTTATTTTGCTGGCCAGGCCCAAACATGGCCTATAACTTGTTGGCCATGCCACCAAATACATAGCATAAGTGGAGAATATATATATGTAGAATATTGAATATATACATATATATAATATATAATATACTATACAACATTTCCATTTGTAATTTGTCTTTGCCATCAATCAGTTGGTTGGTTCAATGTTAATTCCCATTTATCTATGCTCTGAAAATATTTCAAGTTGTTCATCATTTTCTTACAGTTTTTTGTTGCTCTTCTTGTCTCTATATTTTTTTTAATGCAATCTTAATGAATTTCTTGTTTATTTGCGTCATCTATGTACATATGCTGCCCCTCCTATCGATATCAGACAATAGACTTCGACTTCGAGTGCTCTGATATGGAAACGTGCGCGTTCTTTAATTGAGACCCAGAGGAGTGGGCTATGGATGAGCTATACCTTTTACTATATCTATATAGTAATTGAATTGACTTAGGGTTGGGCCTCCTCTCTTCCCCCTCCCTGGGGGGATAAGTGGAAAACCTTGTAAAATTCAACCCACACAAAAGCTGCCTTTGATTGGAAACCCCAAAGGTTTAAAACACATTTGTCATAGCCAGTTAGTTAATCATCACATGCATTGTTAAAATATATATATATATATATATTGATTCATTAATTTAAGCATGTAATTATAATTAGTTCCCATGAGTGTTACTTTTATAGGGAAACTAAAACTAACATTCCTTAGATTGGGATTCTCAACCGCTGACTCTGCCAGGGTTAATTAAAAATCCCTATCAGACCGACTTGTAGAACAATAATGTTCTTGGGGCAGCAAAATCTAGACAATTAATCGGTTTTGATTAAAGTTTACTTGGAGATTATTTCTTATATTTATTGGGGGGCGGGGCGATAAGCTAAGGCCTTTTATAATTGGAAACCTTAGAAGGGATATTGCAATTTGTGTGGAATTTTCAATAATGCGCTAATAACTTAATAGGCCACAGTGTCCGTGCTAATTCGCATAATATCCGAACAATAAAGTAAAAGTTTGCTCAACAAATTAGCACAAACGGCGAGAACGAAACACACAAAATTCACACATTCACACACAACAAAAAAAAAATTCCCTCCGAAACAAAGTAAAATTGCATTTCAACGCATTTCAAGTTGATTTCTCGTAATTCCAAGGCATTTCTGTGGCAATCCAAAACGTGTATGAACAGTGGGTTCATGAACTTGAACTTACAACAGCAGCCAGCTTAAAAAATGTGTTCCAATAAAATTTAATTATATGCAAATAATGAAGAATATCGTAAGGGAAATGCGCGACATTAAAACAGTGACAGACGTCGTTTTTGGTCGTTAATTAAAAAAACATCGAGATAACGATGGTATAAATCATGTCTTCGTTGGAACTAAAGATGAGCTAATGTTTCTTTTTTTTGTTTTTGTATTTCGACATTTATTATTGTTGTTGACATGAGAACAGGTAACAGAATACAAAATGTTGTAGGCTTTTATGGCTTCTTTAATTTCAGTTATTTTTAAGGCAATTTTAAGTAAGTTTTGATTTGTGATGATGGGTTTTTGTTTATTGGGTAAAGGTTAAAGGTGAGGAAATTATAAAGAAATTAAGAGTTTATTTGTGGTTTCATTATTGACAAAAGTTGACCCCTTTGCATAGAAATATTAAGAGAAAAATATTCTCTGGTTTTTATATATAATATTCGAGGGATATTATTTCCTTAGAAATTTCAGATTTTGAAAAAAGGGAACTGATTTCATTGAGATTATTTCAATTGTTTTTTAGTCAAAATGTTACTATAATTGTACTTATTTTTCTTTTAATATAAATAATGACTTATTGTAGTATGATCTTGTGACTCTTTTTTAAAAAATCAAAACATCGTATTTAAAAAAAATAACTAATATTATTGAAATTGGTTATAAGAACTTAATTAATTAAATAACGTTCTGTTACCTGTGCGTATAAATAACTCGCTTTTCTCCCTATAAAATCTTATAATCTTCTTTAAAAATGCTGAAAATTAAATAAACCCTTATAAAAATGTATTTTTTTAACTTTAAATACAAGTTTCTATACACTTTTATTGTTTAACTTTATTGTTTATATACAATCTAGCCCCAATTGCGTACGTCTGTCGATGGCTTTTACCGATAGAGACATTTGCAATTGTTAGAGCCGCAACATTTTGTCACTTAAAAAGCCATAAAACTTACTTAAGCTTTAAATTTGTATGCAATGCGAAACGTGGGCAGAGATCGGAGGATAACTAGAAGGGGGAAGAGTGAAGAAGAAGATAATAGAGAGTACAGAAGCAATTGCAGAGGAGTTAAAAGTAACCGAGAAACTCCCACACGTGTTCGTACAGAGACATAGACACTCTGTACAGTGGAGTCACGCTATAGGAAATAGAATTTTAGATCGAAAGCCAACAGGTAGCTCCTCCAATTACCAAATCATTTCCCTTTTGTTTTTTTAGGGGGCAGCCATCAATCATGAGTGTCAGATATGAAGCTAAATGTTGAATGCCACCGGCAATGGCGATTTGCCATTAACATTACAATTACCTGTGATCATGGCATTACCCCCAAAACCCGTACCCATACCTGTACTCGTGCCTAATTAACCCCACAATAGGGTATCCATATAGAACATTTAGATATCTTAAAAGCTTAAACGGATCACACGACCGTAACCACAATAAAATATATCACAACAATCTGTGTAAATATATATCTATACTTGTTGTTTGTTTTTTTGGCAGCCTGATGAGCACTCTTCTATATTATTCTATGCTATATCCGGCGGCTTTTAATTTCTGAGAATTACTCGGTTCTAAAGTTAAAAATGAAAATGAATACATAAATTGTGATATTTTTACGATTGACACATGCGAGCATTCGAGCTAATTTTTGTTTATTTCGAATGGAAAAGAGGGAGTAAACGTGCAAAAAGCACGAAAAGAACATACAGATCAAAGAGAAAGATGTCACAAAACATGTTAGAAAAATTGTGTAAAAGGGTAATTGTGAAAAAGAGATGGGACAATAATGCACTGGGGGAAAAATTTATATATAATTGGAATTTATTTATAATTTATTTATAGTTTATAGTGAGGTCTTTTTATAATCCTTATAAGGGATTATATTTAATTAAATATAAAAACAGTAAGCTGATTAGATAGGGAAGAACTTATTTATTATTGATCACTGATCCCTTAAAAACAATTTAATATTAATATTCCCTGGTAATTTATTTTTATGTCATTACAATTTTTTAAAGAGCGTGTTCTTAATAAGGTTTATTAACATAAAGTTCGATATAAAGTTAGTTAGTAAAACAAAACGAATAAAATTTAATAAAACTCAATTTTCTTTCTCCCTTTTTCGTGAGAACTCCATACTTTCACTCATTCAATTTTGAACTAATAAAATTATCCTTAAAGCCTTCCTTCCAAAATAACATTCAAATATTTTAAACCTTCCTCAACTCGTCATAATTCAATAAATCAACACAATGTTAATAATTTTGTTTCAAGAATATCAACACTTTCAATTAGAAGTTTACCTTGCTGCTTCGGATATTAGCTCACTTTTGCACCTTGCACTCGCTAAATGAACTTGACTCAACAAGACAGCAGCGACTGACACATTAACTTGCACTTAACAAATATTTAATTATTACAGGAATATATACATATATGGAATATTAGAATAAATATATGAGTTGTTCGCCTTTCAAGCGATCCGCGCACTTTGACTCGACGACAAAAACTGTGCTGGCTTTTCGGCAGCGAAAAGCCAAAGCCCCCCAAAGACCCCAAAGCCCCAGCGAAGAAAGAGAGAGAGAATCATTTAAGAGAGAGAGAGCTGAAGAGAGCAAAAGTTGAAAAATTCTAGAATCAATCAGAGAGCGCGGGCGCAACGGACGAATTTAAAATGTTTGAGATAATCTTGAAATAAAATAAATAAGGCAAAGCCATGTTACGAACCCCAATGCAAAACTCACCATAAAACTTAGCCCGGACATCAACCTTGTTAAAAACAATCAAATAAAATCTAAATTACCGCCCGGTAATCAGTTTAATGCCAATTTATGGCATGCAAATAATAATAATTATTAAATGTGAAATTGAAAACCAAACCCATCATCATCTAACGTCAGTGCGTGACGTTGGCAGAAAAGTTTCCACAACTCTTTTTTTTCTTTTTGTTCTGCTTATCAAAAGAAATCAAAGCTGAAATCAGCCCGAAATCTTGTCTCTGCAAACAATTTCTTTAATTAATTTACTGTGTGCACTTGAGGGAACACTGAACTTTTCCATGATTCCCTTTCACGATTCAATAAAAAAAGATATATTGACGTAAAGACAAATTCAAGATATCTGCAGACTTCTAGAGCATTGTTTTCATTTAATTACCAATTGTGGAGCCAGGTAAAAGGGAAATTGGGTTCCACAAATCCCAAGCACACTTTTATGAGGCGCCATAAATTTATGGCAGCCAGATGTCGAGTAAAATTGGCAAGGCAGGTAGATAAGCTGTAAAGTAAGCTCAGGTATTACATGTATTTTATGGATTGTGTTGGAAGAATATTAAAATATTAGGTAAATCTTTAAATTGTGATAAAATAAATTAAAGGGATCTAGAAAATATAATATTAAGTATTTATAGTAATCATAAGTTTTCTTTAGATTAAATTTTAAGCCCATGAAATTCCTTTTTTCTTTTAAAAATATTCTATATTTCTTTAAAGCGAAAAAGTAGCTTATTAACTTCCTAAACTCGTAGCATTTTAGAACTTTAGTAAAATAATATTTAAAAATTACAGAAACATATTTTCAGGTACCTAAAAAGTCTCTTATATCATTGTTTACTTTTGTTACTTAAACAAAACCACTCTGACAACCAAATAAATCATTCCTGAAACCTTTCCCTAAGCTAATTATGACATTCCTAAATCTCAGGAACTTTCCAAAGATAAAGATCCTTTCTAATTTCCATAAGTACACACGAAGAATGCCCTTTTTGTGTGAAACAAAAATGTGAATCAAGTTCACATTTCAGTTGAATAAAAAAACATATGACTTGACGTCTGACTTAACTCCTGAACTCCTGCTAAATCCTGACACCTGACCAACGCCCACTTTTTAGCCGCAAATACAATAGTTCTTCGACGACCTTGGCCCGACATTACCAACATTTGCATACAATAAAGGGTGGGGCTTCTGTTTTCTATTTTGTATTTTCTTTGTATTTTTTTGTTGCCAGCTAGGAGCCTTACTGTGAAATATGGAAAAGCAAAGTAATTGTGTCCTGACTGTGCGAAATAATAAATTAGAATTGTCCGGTCATCGGGCCCCCAAGTGAGTGTGTGTGTGTGTGTGTGTGTGTGGGAAGCCATTAATTAAATCAGACATCAGGCATCAGATGGGGAATTTAAAGCTGACGTGATCCAGGGAAAGTCCTGGGGAAAGGGATAATAATTATTACTTCAACTAGCTGAAGTCTTCTCCATTATTTCTGTATAATTTTATAGTCTTTTGGAGTTTAATTTAATAAATAGTAATAGTTTTTAACACTTTCTCATGAAAATAAATTCAAGAAAGGTCTTGGAAAATCATCCTTTTTATAAGATTACTTTATTAATATTTTTGTTTTTAAATTCTAAAGATTTAAACTGCTTAAACGCTTTCCCTTCCAAATAAATCCTTTCAAAAGGGAATCAGAAATTTATACTCTGCTTTTATCTCCTTTGTACTTAATCAATTATGATTTTAAACAATTGTTTTCTATACTTTTACCACTTGTTAACACGTTTACTGATAAATCATGTTTGCATTATCACTTCCGCAGCTACAAAAAAATAAGCTAAAGCTAGATTAAATAAAACTAAATGAACAAGTTAACTGGAAACAATTAAATTAGTACCTTAACGCCACTTGCATTTTAAATAAGCTTCTCAACTCTTTATTTTTTGCTCTATTTAATTTGCGGAAGCTTATATAAAACTCACAGGCAAATGAACTAATTTCGTTTTCAATAAAATCCCAAGTCTACTTTGGATAACCCCTTGAACAAGAAAAAAAAAACTTGAAACATCTGCGACGGCTTATCAGCATCATTGGACTTGTGCGAATTTTCATCAATTGCCATTTTTTATGAGCCCATTACCGTTCCCCGGCTTAATGGCCACTCGATATATAACACGTACGCCACGGCCGTGCCTAACTTGGCATAAGAAGAAAAACAAACCTAGAAAATAAATTAAAAACACATCTGTTCTGCGCTATTCTTGATGTATTTTTATATAAAACAAAAGGCTGGAGAACAAAAAGCGAAGAAGTTGAGTAAACACAAATGGCGAATTGTACAAGCACCAAGTGCTTGTGTCAATCAAAGCTGGAGCTGGGATAGTACCGAGAAGTGTGTGTGTGGTTTTTATTTATATATACATATATATATTTTAAATGGTTAATTACCTGCAATTTTTTGGCTCGGCACGCGCTTCTCTCTCTCATCGCTCATACGCCGTGTGGTACAGGAAGTATACGCCTCGTGTGCCAGAGAATTAACCTTAACATTTTGCGCTGCGGAGAATGTGATCGAGGCGTAGATCTTGATCCATGACCAGAATTCGGCTGAGATGCCCGCATGAGATACGTTTCTACGAAAGCTCTTGCAAATAATTCCCACGGCGCATGCGTGAAGCGCGCGGTTAGTCATGGCTGCAAAAAGCCACGAGATGATGGGGTCTCGACTTGGAGACGACAAGCATCTGGAAATGTGCAAAACAAATAGCTCAACAACAATTCAACAATTCGAATTGGACTTGGACGAGGAGGCTTTGCCAAAAAGTACAACAAAATGAGTAAGAAAAAAAGTTAAGTAAAAAAAAACAGAGACAATAACGAGAACCGCAAGACCAGCAACAATATAAAAGCAAAACCCAAAACGACAACAGCCGCAAGCAAGCGGCCTTATTGAAACATAATGTGTGATATATGTATGTTTACAGTGAATATACACTAAGCAAGAAGTTAAAGATGGAAATGGGTTTTATTTCTACCTACATTAAATTAAATTACAATTATTATAAGACTTTAAATGAAAAGGTTAAAGGGTAAACAGTGTGAATTAAAGGCTATAGATACAAATGTTTATTAAAAGCAAAAAGAAATCAAAAGTTAAGGAGAATAAGCATTAAACTAGGTAAAAAAAACAAATACAATTTTACGAAATAATTTTTTAATTAAAATTAATTAATTTTAATTAAAACAGGAAGGAAATCTTAATTCGGGATGCCGTAGAGTAGTTACAATTGTAATATAATTATTGGATGGAATCGGAAATCAATTTAACTAAGCTTAAAATACTCGCAATCGGGAATAGATAGTTATTGGAATTTTATGTCACTTTTTATCTACACATCAAAGACTAAAAATCTCATAACTAAGCCAAAAATGCATTAATTTTAATTCGGACTGCTTTCCTATGTTAGTTTTTAAGAGGTTAACAAAGCTGCATACTCAGTTTAAAACCTAAAATTTTTGCCATTTTTCGGAAATTTTAATGATGTAACCCCTTATCATTTTTTAAAAAAATAGACAAAAATTGAAAAAGTGTATTTTCTTTAAAATATAGCTAGATCGACTCGCCGTTTAATTCTGATCAAGAATATATATGATTTATGGGGTCGGAAATGACTCCTTCAATGCATTACAAGCTTCTGACTGAAATTAAAATACCATATTTCTATAATTTTATGACCTTTTTTATTCAAATCAAAGTTTAAAAAAATCATAACTAATCCAAAAATGCATTAATTTCAATTCGGATTGCTTTCCTATGTTTTTTGTTAATAGGACAATAAATCTGCATACTCAGTTTAACATTTTAAATACTTAAAATGACTGAAATTATAGTAGCATTCTTTGAACAGATATATTTATCTATACTTTAATATGACAATTTTTTCCTACACATCAAAAACTAAAAATCTCATAACTAAGTCAAAAATGCATTAATTTTAATTCGGACTGCTTTCCTATGTTTTCTGTTAATAAGACAATAAATCTGCATACTCAGTTTAACATTTTAAAAACTGAAATAATAGTACCCGGCACAACTATTTTCTCAATTTCAGATCCATTTTCGATTGTTTACATAATTCCCAAACAAAAATTAAACTTCTAAGGTTATTTGTTAATTGAAGATTCTATTAAATCGAGTACTCCCTGTACTGCACATGTATCATACATCATCTGTCTGGGGCAATACTATAACTGAGCAAACCATAATCAGAGCGCTGGCTGAACAAAATTTGCATAGACCATTGAGTGTTCGAGCAGAGGCTTTGGGACTTGGACACTCACGCATCGCGGACTCACACTCTAACCAAGATTGATGAAGTGTCAAACGGCGGAGATAGAGCATCAAATCACATAGGTAAAAATTGAAAAAAAAAAACAAAAACAATCAAAAGGAAAAAAGTGTAGAGGGCTGCGACATTGACCTTTATTTTGGCTTTATTTTTCCATTTCGATTTTTGATTTTGCGCACAGCACGCTCCTTAAGTTTTATTTTCGCCACCTGATTGAACCAATTTTGTGGGGCATTTCATTTTTGACCGACTCATTCGGTCGAATTCATTACAATTACAATTTGGTTTATTAGCCGCCCCCATTGGGTACATAAGCATGCATAATATTTTATTCGAGATTATTATCGTTTCCCTCTATGTTTTCTTTTCTTCTTTGGGGTTTGCAATTGCGAATGTTTCAATGTCACTTTTTGGAGTTTTGCTTACAGTTTGTTATTATTATTTTCAAATTGTTTTCGCAGCATCACAAGATCCAAGTGCAGAGAAAACAGATAATTGAAGAAACCAAAATGAAAGATTCAATTCAATTTGGATTTGGTAATTGCTACCATCAGCCATGGTTTCGGTTTTTCTTCTTTTTTTTTTTTGCAGTATAAGCAAATTTTATGGGGATCCATAACTACGTGTTAGTTGTTACTGCCTTTTTGTTTTAGAGAGAAAAGGCGTTCAACTTTCACTGGGGGAAGTTGTAGAGTCCTCTTACATGGAGATTGGTAACATTTAAGAGCTGGTATTATTAGGATTTTATATAGGAAATGGATTGGTTTATTGATATTTAGTACAATAGAGTTGCTTTTAAAAGTATTATAATTTTTATCATGACCCAGTAAAGCATATTGAATTAATGATTCGCCTTTCCAATAAGACTTATTTTCTTACTTATTACTCTTGTTATAAATGGTATTTCTTTATACCAATTATATTATATATTTTATTGAATTCACTAAGGAAATACATTTGTAATGAACTTATATGTTGTTTCCATGTCATTTTACAGGTAAAATATGAAGTCAAAATAAATAAATAATAATAAATTTATAAGTTCCTACGAGTTTCCTAGTATCTAATTATTTATTTTAACCATTTATCAATGTATACTTACTATGAAATTGAATCCTTTAACTAATCCTTTCCAGACTAATTAAAGTGCTCCATTAATTCCTGATATTCCCAACTACTTTATAAATGATTCTTCTTCATAATTGATTTCAAAATCTACCATATATTTCACTGATCAAATTATGGATTTAATTAGATTTCTGTCTGAGGAAGCTTAGAGGGCGTAAATTGCTGAAGGCAAAAAATAAAAGCAACCTCAATGGATCTGCGATGATTATCACGCCCATTTAGCCAGAGTTCGTGCCATTTTAATGGTTAACTGGCATTAAAAATAATTACTCATTAAGGCAACAAAGTCGGCACAATGCCCATAGATATATACGTAGATATAGATATATAGTACTCGTAAGTAATTCCGTCTGAGCCCTGGCTCTTGTTTTCAATAATGAGAGACGAGACGCTGCTGCCACAAAACAAATCCGAGGCTCTCGCTCCTTTTATTTCTGGCTGTCACTTGTTTTGTCAATAACTTTGGCAACTGTTGCTCCCCGCCAGAAATATAAATAGTTTCCCGACGACAAGGTAAAGGCCCTATTCATAAGCAACAAAAACAAAAATAGTACAAAAATGGCAATCAATATGGCACATTAAAGCCGTGGAAAGTTGTTTAAAAAAGTGAAACTGATAAGGGCCCAACCGTGCATAACCCATTAGCTGAGTTTTAAAGTGGAAAAACAGCTGCAAATGAAATACTTTACGGCCTTGATGCGGGTGGTCTCTTAAAGTATTTCCATGGATTTCCATGGATTATAGGGTATTAAACCAAGTCACGTGTTTGGATTACCCCAAAGACTTGAAACTCGAAAAACTATGCTAAGGTGATAAGATCTGAGCAGAGCGATAATGATGTCTGAGGTTCTGCATGACAGGCACAATTAGTTTAATCGAAAATGTTTATTACTCTTTGAGTGTTATAAACCGCACACTTACTATAGTTACTATATAGTATATATAGAACATATATCAAGTGACCAAAATGGCAGGCTGACGACTGCCTTTTAGGCTGTGTGCAAAAGAGTTCTAAAAATGGCTTTGAACTTTCCCCCCTGGGCCAATAACAATTAGATTAAATATATATTTTTTGCCACATTTTTGGCTTAATAGAAATGGGTTTTAAATTGGTTGCAATTATTGGTGATAATTGTTGTGGATACTGAGGCGATCGATGAGGTTGAGGACGGGGGATTAAGTGCAAGTCTGTACATGGGCACTCGAAATATTTGGAATATAATATTTATACATACATAGAGATAAGATACTACTACTGGCATTGGGTTTAATTTTATTTAAGGGTTTAGATTAGGTTTGATTATTTGGTTGGTTTTCTGGATTTCTAGAGAGTGAAGGTATTAAGTCTTTCTGACTGTTTTTTTTTATTATGTTTGTATAATCTATTTTATAGATACATATGAAATTTATATTAAAATAATTAATAAGTGATATACTATTATAATAATTATTAAAACTTTAGATGTAAAGAGTGAAGAGGCTGCAGACAAAACGAGATCAGTGTGTTGGGAGTGCCTAATATTTATAATCTCCGAGTAAAGAGAAGAACAGAGAAAGAGATATCTCTAGAGATAGACTAGTAGAGATCTAGAGAAAGAGATATGTCTAGAGTGTCTAGAACAGTGAGAGAGATAGATATACCGAATCAAATAGAGATAAGGAGAAAGAGAGAGAGAAAGAGTCTAGGCAAAGAGAGATAGAGAAATTACACTCACAGTTTTGCATTTTGCTCAACATTTAAGGATCGTAGCTATATGATCATGATCATGACTATATATACCACTGGAAAGTATATAGAATAGATTAAATGTATATTCTAAAAAACTACCCTCGTAGATCCTTAGATAAACGGGGCCAAGGCCAAGCTAATAGCTTATTATTTGTTTTTTTTTGCAGCTAGGATTTAATGTGCCATAATTCATCGCTTGCAACGAGGCAAGGTAAGCACTTGGAATTGGCAAAATAAACCCATCAAAAAATCATACTCGCAACGTTCTATCCACACCCGTCAAAAGGGTCATAATAAATGTTTTTACTATATATGCGCCACCACTCTCTTATTCGATTAAGTCATCGGTGGCGCACAGGTGCAGGTAGGTGAACGAACAGGTGTATATCCCGAGCCCAGATCCTGTGGCCAACAGAGAAAAAGAGCTGAAAGCCAAGCCCCACAAAGAAGAAATAAAGACTGCCTCTGCCTCTGTCGCAGTCGCAGTCTCTGCCTCAGTCGCAGTCGCAGTCGCAGTCGCAGTCGACTTTAGCAGCGGCAGAGAGTATATCAGTTACAGCGGCAACGTTGGCAACGTTTATTTGCGCTCGAGCAGCGAACGTGGTAGCACAGCTTACGAAAAATCGCAGCAGCAAGTGAAAAGCGTATGGCAGTTTGAAAATTTCGAAAAAAGGAAATCGAGTTCGGATTCCAATTTAATTAAAAATTGTAATAATAACATCGTTAGTTATTGTTGCGCTTTCCAAACGAGAGAGTGTGTGTGTGTGTGCGTGGAAAATAAGTGAAAACTAAACGAGACTCTGGAGACTCTGTGCCTGGGCAATTGTGCAACTTTGAGACTCTTAACCTTAACAATTATATTTGGCACAATTCAGTTTCGATTCAAGTGCTCACTTTTACCAGCAGCCGCCAAATTGGTAAAATAAGAAATCAACATAAATAAATTCAACAAAAAAGCGCGCTTTGAAAACGAAAGCAAAACACACACACGCCGTGGTTTGATTGAAAAAAACCCCCACGCTCTGCGAAATTTTGCTAAATTCGAGTGGCAACCGCATAAAACCCCTAAAAAAAATATATAAAAACACCCCACAGAAGACAGCGAAAATGGTCGAGAAAACAGGTGAGTGATTGGAGATTTTGTTTTTTTAAGAGACCGGAGAATGCCAACTATGCGTGTGCGTCTTACCTGCCCGCGAAGGTTAATTACTTGCGACTTAACGGGGGCGAAAAGAGTGCGCGAAATTGTGATTGTCTACTTAAGATGGGGTTTTCTCTGAAAGTTGATTTTAATATGGAATTTTAATAGGGGATTTTCCTCTTCACTTTACTGAGAAATAATGACAATATGGAGCAGATAATTAATACTAAAAGGTTGTTGTTTTTAATAGGAATCAGATAATGGGCTTGCTCCTAACTAGTAAAGGTGTTAAGTTTATTCAGAAGACCTTTTAAGGCAACAGCATTTTAATAAGGGTTAATACTGCATTTAAACAGTAACTAACTAAAATACAAAACAAGTGTAATACGTTAATTTTCATTTGGGAATTAAATAAAGTGCAAAGTACTAGACAAAGTTAAAGCTGCAGAATTTTCATTTAAAATTTTAATTTTAAATTTTACAAATTTTACAAATACAAAATTTACAAAGAGACAACAAAAAAATCAAACCAAATTAATTATTAAATTATGGTTAAAAATCCAGAAAGTTATTTTACTTGTAGGGAAACTTGTATATAACTTTTTATAAGTATAAAAAGTTTTGTAAATATACAATTTATACTTCTGTAGAATATTTAATTTTCTAAGACATGAACCTAAAGAATTATAAAATAAAATTGCGTTTAAATTTGATCCAAAAATTGTTGCAATGTAAAAATTAAATATTATTTACTAAATATTATTTACTTGCAATGTCCTAGTCCTAATAAATATTCCAATTGTAAACCATTTTTCTACTCAAATTAAAACCCAATTAAAAATATTTTTGAAACTTGTGATTAATTAATTTAATTCAATTATTAAACATTTTGCTCTGCAATTAAATATCTCACTTCTCCGCCTTTGTTTTCACTTTCTATGCAACCTCAAATTTTGGCCAAAAAATTAATCACCTCGAGACAATTAATCATCTTTAATAAGCAATCGTTGTATATTTTAAATATTTTTGATAAATCATCTCCTTTCTTCTTTGATTTTCTTTTATGGAAGTCCCGCCCATCGATAACGATAACAAGATGATTGCTTTTCAATAATTTCTCTGAGGGGCGCAGCATGACAGAAACAGTAAATTAGCCCCAAGTTAGTTTTTCTATAGCTACATTTCTTGTTGCTTTGATTTAGCTTCCGTGGTGGCGACTGATGATGATTTCTATAACTGAAAGTTTGCATGACAGAAAGGCCTCAGAAAAAACAAGAGGGGGGAAAAAAGTATATAGATAGATATGGCTGGGGTATCTGGAGAAAACTTCGATAGGTAAACAACAGCGGAAACTACTACAGTCGAGCAATTTAAACGACGATGATGATGATGGTGATGGTGATGGTGATGGTGATGGAGGTGACTCTGCTCCAACGAAAGCAATAAAGTGAATGAACTGAGCCGAGCCGAATCGAATTGAGACTGGGGAATAATAGGGAAAAGTACCACAGACAAATAAAACAAATTTAAAGCCAAAGAAATAAACGAAAATAAACCGAAAAAAAAGGTGATTTTCTTAGGGCAATTAATTAAAATCCTAATTGCGTTGCTTTGTTTATCCCCGGGCAAAATAATTTAAAACCGAAAAACTCTGGCGTCATTTTCTACGCTATCGAAACTGATAATGGCGAAAATATTTACTTAACGTTTGTGCTCCATTATCGAAAATTCTCGGTTTCAGCTAATTAATGTCAACGCCTCAGGGGTGCCTACTATTTGAACAAGTGTTTAAACACCAGGTTCAAATATTTGATTTAAATATTAAACAATTTTCCATGGCTAATGGCGGGCATATAAAAAAAGTATATAACATTCTTGGTAGTTGCGTGAGAAATTCCTTTTGAAACTCTGCAAATTATGGTAAAAACGTGTTGCTAATTTCATTTCTTTTTCCACTTAATGTCTTTCCCGCCCCATAATTCAATGCGTTGTCATCTTTTGGCCAAAGTCGCTAAGTATATGTATATAAATTTATATAAAAAACTCTAGACTGTTCTTTATGGCCTGGGATTCGCAGATATAAAATTACAGTAATAATCGTGAGCCAAGTTGACATGACATCACGGTGAAATTGTTGAAGCACACACACGGGACAGTAGCTTATAATAGCTTATAAAAGCCAGAAAACACTTAGAGCCAGGAAATGTCTCGAACTTGGCTAGAACATTGAGACATTTGGCACAGTTAGTGCAGCTTCTCGGTTCTCAATGGCAGATCAACTTGTTTGTTAATCGGATAGCTTATAATTAAGTTAATAAGCTGCCTCCTCCGAGATCTACAGTAGCAAAGATGCGCATTTTGTTCTCATGGAAAGTTTTTTAAAGATTCGCGTAACGTGGAATTAAATACGAATTGAAACTGAATTTGGGGGAGAGACAATAGTTTATTCAAACGGGAGGGATTAATGAGTTTGATGAGCTTGATGAAAATGTAAACAATTTAAGGCATATTTTTGTAATTAAAACTTTGGAAAATACGGGTATAATTTGGTTATATTATCTTATAAAATATTTCTTTTTAGAAGAGGGTATTTTAAAGTACTTTGGACAGTATATATCAGTCATTAAAATATTAAAGTTATGTCAACTCTTAAAGGTAGAAATACGGTTTTAAAATCTAAAAATAAATAAAATAAAATATTTTTACTCATTTTAATACAGTGTATTATAATTTTAGTCAGAAACTCGAAACTGAGTGAAGGAATCATTTCCGACCATTTAATCATATATATTCTTGATCAGCATTAACAGTTGAACGATCTAGCAATGTTTTGGAAGAAACTATTTTTTTTAATTTTATAGGGGTCATTAAATCATCCCTAAAAAATAAAAATAAAAATTCCAAAATTTTTAGGTTTTAAACTGAGTATGCAGATTTGTAAACCTATTTAAAACTAGCAAATGAAAGTTGTCCGAACTGAAATTAATTCATTTTTGGCTTAGTTATGATATTTCAAAAACTTACACTTACATAAAAAAATAGCATATAAAGTATCAATATATTAATTTAATGTCTTATTCTGTAATCTTCTTAATACCCCATTATCTTAAAATTTAGTATAAATTCCGAGTTCATTGTACTAAATAAATGGTCTTTTTAAAACCCTTATTAATCACAGTCTCGGATAATCATTGTCAGCTGCTAAGATTTATCAATTACTCTCCCTTAATCTACAGAATTTTCCCCTATCAAACATCATCTCAAATAATCACAATTAATCGATAAACACCCAGGTTAGTCATAAACCACAAAACCCCAATAAATCGCGCCTGATTTATTGGACATTATAAACGAGTTAAGGCGACATAAATTTGCGTGCCCATAAAGATAATAAGCAAATGTACCTGGAACTAAATAGTACCTGCCCATAACCTAACCCAAAAGCCCAATCCCAAATCCCAAGCCCAAGTCCCAGACAGGTGACTAATTAATTTATAACGATTTTAATGGGCAGCGAACAGGTTTCGATCTTTGGCTGCTGGCCGCTATTATTATTAATAAAATCATCGCCAGGCAAAAGTCGAATTTAATAAACCGATTAAATTGATTAATTGCTGTGTGGAGAAAAAATGGGAGAGAATCTTTTGTTATTGCACTTACACAATGTTATTTTGTTTTTCTTTCTCTTGAGATCAAATTAATGCTCGTGTCGTGGCATTAACGGAGCTTAATTTGCATACGCACGAAAATACCTTAAGTAACTTCATGTAAATTTACAAAATCACCTGCGCAGCTCCTTTGTACATCCAAAGTTTATGGTTAACGGTAAAGTTAAGTCAGTTCTTTGTTCAGGAATATATATTTTGGGCTTGTTGCGTGTCAAAGTAAATCTCAAAACAAATGTCAGGATGTCAAATTGTTGGGTTCAGTGCGTGATCAATGCCAGGAAAATATATAATGAAAAGTATATAAAGAGTTTTTACCTTTACTATTTGATAGAGAAATAAATTCGTATGGTATAAGTTATATTTTATATTTTATTTAAACCTTTCCCTTAGTTTCCATGTACTTCATAATTATCCTCGCATAAAACTGCTTTCCTGAGCCACCTTAAAACCCATCAAAGTCCATCAGCTATATTTTCATAAATCCATTCTGTCGGCTTGCCCTAACTTTCTTCTTTCGATGATTAAAAAACATATATGAGGAAAAAACAGACATAAATTGGGGAACTTATGCCAAAATTGCGTGACTGAGGCGAATTAATGAGTCGCCCGGTGGGAAGAAATGCTTGTAAACCAGGAACGAGGTGAGAAAAGGCGATGACATTGCTCATGTTCTAATAATACGCAGATAAGTCATAGGTTCCACCAATCAGCATAACCATAACCATAACCCAGAGGGGAAGGGTGCCTTTCTCTAGGCCAGGACTCTGGGAGCGGCTTTCACAGAGCCAAGCCTTTGACTTGGCCTTTAGTCAGACTTCCGCACGTGCGCTCCCACCACAATCCACAATCCGCACCTTGATTTCAGTTATGGCCAAGGTTGGACACCACAGGCACTTGAAGAAATAAATATGTATGTTTAAGTAATAACCAAACGGGTTACTTTAACAATTTCTTTGAGTGCTTGGCAGGATGTGAGCTACTTGTTCTGGTAGAAGACCACGTCGAGCGGACATCCGCGGCCGCATTCTGTTTATGGCAACTGCAGCGAAAATGCACTTAACATCAGTCCAGAGTCGGAGCCAACTTGGCATAGATACTCCTCTATACGGAAACCCACAAATGTGGATTACTATATTTGGCCTAGTCCCGACCTAGGTCTCTCAAGGTCGGGGAGTTGCTATGTAGCTAATAATACGGTAATTTAAACGCCCCTCCATTAATGCAAAAAACACTCGGACCTTACATGGCACAAACTCCAGCTGTCTATTTCTATTTCTATTTCCATTTCTATAGGAGTTAAGTATTGTATCTTATCGGTCAGTCATTCATTCCACTTGGCCATAAATCGTGTTTTTTTTTTTTTTTTTTTGGGGAGAGAACGAGCTCTTGGCATTGACATGAAAGTGAATGAGATGCTATCGCCTGGATTGCGAAATACTACATAGTTGGGTCTTACACGAGTTGAGTGCCACTTGAAACGAGGCTCTGGTTCTGGTTCTAGTTCAAGGAATGTTTCCCACGAGGATCGTGATTTATATGGCATGGTTATCGAGATAGCGAAAGTGTAAAGATTTCTTGCACAATAGCCAAACGTGGGTGGAGCTTTGTGCAGCGACCTTGACATTTAAAGTGAAATGGGTGTGTGTTTCTATAGATGGGGAATTTTGTATACCCTAAAATGTATTATTGCAAGAGTTGTACAATTTTATAATATGTATAAGTATATATATATATATATAAGTCGTATAGTCAAAGAATCTTTAACCATTAATCTTTATACTATTTTGTAAGACTCTTTCATAAGAAAAAGTTATATTATGACTTTTAAGTCATATTAATTTGTCAGTAAGGCGGAGTTTATAGTACAAATTTTTATTTAAAATATGTACAAACCCATTGATTTATAGGTAAATTATTTCAAGTTTTTCCTGGATAGATGTTCTCTAATTTTAAGTGCTTGTAAACATATTCCAAAACCTTTGAACCCCTTTGAAAGGGTATATAAACCACTTGAAACTTTGCCTGCGGGAAGATTTCAATCTCTACGAGTCCGAGTAATAAAAAATTGTTTTATTTTGCTTTTGTATATTGTTTTTGTTTTTTGTTTCTTATTTTTTCAAACACGGAAGCCTCCAAAGAGAAAGAAAAGGAAAAGAGCAAAGAGTGCCAAGAGGCAATATAAACTCAGAAACGAAGCCAATCTTTTTGCCTGTTTTGAATTTTAAATTTCCGCTTGGCGCTGCAAAAAATAATAATAATAAAAATCAAAATACGGGACAAAGCCATCAAAAGCAAGTGCCAGGTACAGGTACAGCTACAGGTTGCTATAAAAAGGCAGGTACTTCTTCTTGGTATGTGGGTCAGGCGAACTTCAGAACTGCTATAATTTGCAAGCGATAAATATTATTACGCATTCGCCTGGTATGTCTCAATTCCAAAGAAATTAAATGTTTAATGAATGAAGAGTGTGTCGCGTACTTGTTGTGATTTTCTATGTTCTGCGATATCGAGACACAAGTTATGTAGCTCCACTAATTAATTTCATGTCGATGGCATTGGCAATGACAGTGTCGTGTTATGATTGATATGCCGGCAAGGTTTTGGGTTGATGGATGGTTACCCAGTTCTAGAATTGATTCAGAACACACCTTAGACTGAGCCAATAAAATTACCAAGAATTCTTAAAAAATATATATTTATATATAGTATTTCGATTCACCCTTTAATTAAATTAATTACAATTCATTATGAACAAATTAAAAGGCGAAATTAACACTGATAAATCTTCATCTCGCAAATGTATCTCGGTCGCTTGCGGCCTTGCTGATGGATTGTTTTTTGTGTCTTGTGTTTATTTGATTTTGTTTTTTGCTAAAAAACTTATATCTATACGAAATCCAGTCAAAAGCCTCGACGTCGTCACGCCCTCACCTTCCAATTGATGACTATTGTGTGTAATTGTTGTTATTATGTTTTCTTCTTATTGTTAATTCCATTTTTTAATGTGCACCCGCCGCTGGCCACAATAATTTATTAGATTTCGTATTTTCTTCAGTCCAATTTCAATGGCAAACATATAGGCATATCGTAGATTTAGCCTTAGCCAACTTCCAAGGATGTGACAAGAGAGCAGGCCTACGAAGGCTAAGACTGTTGAAGCCACAAAACAAATCGTGGCAATTTAGATTAAAAACTGGGTAAACTATAGAGATAAGTTTTATTTTTAGGTAGCAGAGAGAACTACCTTATCTCAATGGCTAGCTGGCTTCCTAAAAAGATATAAAACTCATTGTGAGTGATTACTTAACCCTTTCTGACTTAACTTAAAGTTGTAGCTAATTTACTTGAAAAACACTCATCACGTCATGAGCATTTCACGGCTGAAAGCCTTAAATGAAAGTCAAAGCAAATGATTAATAAATGATCCATCCCCATCCATCAGGTTCCATTGAACTTGAATCTCGGCTTTTCAATTCAATTGCGGTTTGTGATTAATATTGCAATCAACCAGGCAGATGAAGTTATTAATTTTTCCCCACCCGATATTGATGGATTGTCAATAAGTTCGTCTTACAATGATCGTGTAATTATGTTTGACATTTCGTTATCTTTAATTGATTTCCATTTACATTTGTTTTTGTCTCAAAATCTTAAACAAAATCGCTAAGCAAATTTGCATACAGAGAGAACACCGAATGAATTAAACAAATGTTCATGGCAAATAAACCATAAATTTCGTACAACTTATGCTAATTGAGTTTTGGCCAATTGCGATTCTTGTCAACAGGTCGATCTGGTTTCATTAGCCAATCTTATTTACGATTCTATACTCTGGCTAGAATGCGTGGGAGCTTTGAAATAAGTGGAAACTATACGACTCTGGGTCGTATATCATTCGTTCAAGTGCCGCTAATGCTTTGAATTTTCATTAATGGGCATTTCCGGGGCTCAAAATATTTAGATCGAGACGAATGATATTTTCTTTATCAGATTTTCTGGCCAGTCGTTCTATAAATTCTCACCTTCTAAGTTGGAAGTACATTTATGGCCTTATCAGTCTAGTTGGTGTAATTTTTCTCTGATAAAAAGTGACGCCAATACATTGAAAGTAATTCCAAATCACAAGTTGGTGATAGTTTTGAAATAATTTATGACTATCATGGGACTCTTTCCCTCTATGATTCAGTTCACGTTTAAATCTGCATCTTTGGCTATCATTTGCTATTTTCACTTACTCTCTCTGAATTCAAATGAGTTTTTTAACTGCATTTACAGTAGTCATTTTTCAAATTGCTGCCAGTAGCCAGTAACTATTAATTTTATGGGGTTTACCTCCCACAATTTCCACCTTCTGTATATATTGTTTTTATTAACTTAGTCACAAGGGGCACAAGATAATTGCCATATTAAGTGAGCCAAGTGTGTGAACTTGGAGAGATAACAAAAGTCTCACTTATCAGCGGGAAAAAGGGGGCGTTGTGTGTTTATCACTTTGCAAGATATATAATTTTTATTTCTGCTCAAGTGACAGCGTTTAAATAAACCCTCTTTAAACGGGGATTAAGTAACGAGGTCTTCTTAAATCTCCCTTTCTCTCTGATAAGGTTTTTCGAGGCAATTAAAAGGCAGTTTCATCACACTTAATAATAGTAACCAGAGCTTGGGCTTTTGCTGTATTTCAGCAAATAGTTGTTAAGACAAATTAATTAACACCACCCACACTCATTAGCACTCAACCAAGACTCTTGGCACGAGCGATAATGACAAATGAAAGGCTTCTGTCAGGAAGTAAACACACAAGTGCTATTAAACAAATTAATTAATCAAACTATGTAAATTGTTTGAACAGACCAGGCAAAGGGCAAATTGTTTTAAACAAAATATTGTATAGTATTGTATACATTTTTTTAATGTAATTTAAATGAGTCTTGAGTAAGAAATTCCTGGTAACTGCTGACGTAAAAACATTCATTTTCTTGGGTGTTTATTTTATAGCCTATAATGACATGACGTAAATTACCCTACTTTTTTTCTGCGTCACCTTGTAAAAACTCACTTAAAGTCATGTCTCAATTTGAAAAAACTATACAGAAATAAAGCTGAAAATATATTTGAAGTTCTATTGATACAACTTTCCTAACTTCAAGTTTTTGTGCTTCAAGCTTGGTGAATAAATATGACAATAAGCTGACAAAAAGTAATAATTAATTATGATTTGACTTGCGCTGCACAAGATTCAATCAATTTCTGTTCTTAGTTTTTTTGTTACTATTTTTTACTAATGCTGTTGTTTTTTACCATTTGCAGAAATGTCGAAATTCGTTGGCGTTGCCGACATAACCGAGAACAAGAAAATCTGGCGCATGCTGCTCGGGGAACTGGTGGGCACATTTTTCTTGGTCTTCGTCGGCGTTGGCAGCACGATCAGCGGAAGTGTACCACAGATCGCATTCACCTTTGGCTTAACGGTGGCCACCATTGCCCAGGTAAGGCTAAACGCACTTTGCTTGGAGGTTAGGGTGGACCAGATTTTAGAGATTCCCTAAAAACGCTGTAAGATGTTGGGTTGAATGATGATAAGGTGAAGTAGAACATACAAGTTTATTTTAAAAAGTTAAAACATTTACGTACAGAAATTCTTGTATAAGTAAAGTTAGACGGGGCGTATGCGTAATATTTGTACTTGATAAATTATAGGAAACTTTGAGAAATTATCTAAAGGGAAAACATTAGATTTGTCGTTATATATATTATAAATTCAGTCATAAGCTTATAAAGCCGTGAAGGAATCATTTCCGATCCTATATTCTTGTTCAGCATCAAAAGCCGAATCGATCTAGTTATTTTTGGAAGAAACTAAATTTTTCAATTTTTGGAAAATTTTATAAGGGATTACATCGTTAAAATTGTCAAAATTTGGAAAAAAAAAGGAATGTTTTGTAAATATAAAATCTTAACATGCAGATTTTTTAACCTTATAAAAACTAGAACAGAACAGCTTGCCGAATTGAAATTAATGCATTTTTGGCTCAGTTATAATATTTTCAAAAATTTGATTAAGGGAAAAAATTATTGATTTAATATACAATACAACATATCTTTTGTTTAATATTTTCTGTTCACTTTGGTTTACCCTAATGCAACGCCCCAAAGAGAATGCATCAAGCTAAAGATTTCAGAACCAAGATCAGTGATCAGAGCCTTAGATTTGAGATTTGTGACTTGAAACTCACGCAAAAAAAAAGAACTAAAACGAAAAATTGAAAAAGCAAAACAGCGCGGTGCGTGCATTGATCGGCGGCGAGCATTTTCAAGGACACGTCGCAGCACTCCACCGCCGCGTTACACTTTCGGCTCATTCACAAAATGCACTCGCACATAGCACAAGCACATAGCACATAGCACAAGCAAAAAGCACAAAGCACAAAGCACAAGTACAAACGCATTTTTGGCCAAAAGACATTGGCATTTAAAAGCGACAACATTGCGGCGGCTAGCAATGGCAATAAAATTGGCAAACGAATGCAGTGCAAGAGTGTGTGCCGGAGTGTGTGTGCTGGAGTGTGTGTGCTGGAGTGTGTGTGTGCGAGTAATTTAGAAAATTGACAGATTTACAAACGCACTGGCAGTGCGAATAATAAATGCTCGCTCGCAGCAAAAGCGTCTGCGCTGGCAATTAACATTAATCAACACGCAAAATATGCAATTAGATTATTATGCGTTTAATTACGTTATGCTGGCTTCATTCTCGATTTGCCATTCGCATTCGCATAACGTTCTTGTTTCACTGACGAGTGCTGTCTCAGGTCTCAGCATTTAAAGCGATCTGAGATCGCAGATCTGTGATTATTGCATTCGATTTATAGGCCCACAAAAGTCAAAGCTCAGTACAGCCCCGAATCCATCAAAAAAACATGAAAAGGCTTCTACGTTTGTGGATATATGGGAATTTTTAGCTATTTTTAGATTCATTTTGAATAGATTTTTACAAGATTAGAGGTTCAATTTCTAAAGGTTCTTAAGTGGCTCAATTGGTCATTATACCTTAAGTAGAATAAGTATTTCTTTATATTTGCTAATAAACCATAAATGTGCCTAAATTATATACTCTAAATATTTGATAACAAATAATAAAAATGCCATATAACAACTCTAGAAAGTGCCTGATAGATAAATTAAATATAATATGTACCACTAGTCGTATGAGTAACATTTAATAAATCTCTAAGTGTCCCCAGCAAATCGCTCTTGTTATGTTATGTTGTAATAAATATGTATTATTATATAATAACTTTTAACAAATCACAATCTAATAATCACATTGAAAGCGTGAATAATTTCCCTAATGAAATCAAGTAGCTAAATTGCTGGCAAACAAAAACAAAAACATTATTGACGCCCGACGCCTTCCCTGAGCAATTTCCCGGCGCGCGCGGAAAACACTTGCAACATTTTTGGACCATTAGTGGCAAATTAGTTGCCCGTCGATTGCAAAAACCCAAGAGGCAAGATGCAAGATGCAAGATGCCAGATGGAAGTTGTAAAAGATGCAGTCACATGACTGCAACTCGTGCCAGCATTTTCAGCTTTTCCAGCTTTTCTCGCGGGCTTGTAAGTTTGCAAAAGCGATTGATTGGTAGCGTTCGAGCTTGCGATTAACTCGGCTATGCATTGCTAATTTTCTTTTCGTCAGCATTTGTGTGACGACAATGGTCATTTGTTGCACATTCGTCATCGTCACATATTGCTATATATGTAGAAAATAAATATATTTATATAGCAAAGCTATAACTGTTCAATGGAGCAAAACGCGTGGCGTCAAATTGGAAAACGTGCCAATTGCCAAGCAAAAATAAAAGCGTATTCCCTACGACAACTTTAACATACAATAAGCTATGGAAAATATGTCAAGAAATAAGTCAAGAAATATGATATGTGACTGTAAATCCCCTTTCCCTGAAGCTTATGGCTATCGCATTCCTAGAGATCGGCACTTCAAATGCAAAATCGCCGGCAGATCCACATTTATATGCAGTTCGCATATCACCAATCGTTTCGCTTTCAAGGAAGTAAATCTAAGAAAATGCTAATGTTTATAAAATAAAAATGAAATTTAATGCAACTAAAGAAAGAGAAGAAAAACAAATTGTGGAAGGGAAAATGGCAAAACAACAATAAGACGTGCTTGGAAAAATTTGAATTAAACGATCGTAGCGCAACTTTCAGTTTTTCTAAGGGGGAACTTTAAGATGTCAACTTTGGAGATTGCAATCGGCGAAAAATCATGTTTGAGGCTTGTCTTTTGTTATTTGTGATGATATATATAATATATAATTTATAATATAATATATATTTAATTGGAATAAAGTTGAATAACTTTAACTAACTAATTTAAATTCCTAAATTTAGTTTTTCTTATGTTTTAAAACTCGCAAAAATCACCACATTTAGTCTGTAGTTACAGCCATTATTTGATTTAATTACGCAGGCGGCTTAAGTAAAAAACCGACACAAAAAAACGAGAAAAAAGGAAAACAAGAAAACTCAGTGCGTGCAGCATTCACGTTTTCATTTTCAATTCTGGCGATCGCAATCGAGAGTCAAGTTGGTTGAACAAACTTCGACTTCGACTTTGGCTTTGGCCCGATGCGAACTTGAATTGAATCAGCAAACAAGCTAAAAAATAAAATAGAATAAGAAAAAAACCGAATACCTACAACAACAATCGCCAAAATGTTGCTGAAAAGCAGAACGAAACAAACAAGTTAACATTCGATTTTCAACTGAAAAGCCATAAAATATGATTTAAGCGTAAATGTCGAACTGCGGCTGCTGTGGCTGCTGCACATGCGTAAGCCAATCGATCTCGATATATCTCTTTAACTATATATATATTGATTCATATATATTTAGATAGATATATGTATACTTACAACTCGCTTGGTGGAAGAGACACCGAGGAGACACCAGGCTTTGGCAGACTTTTCGTAGCCATTGGAAAACCTTGAGAGTGCAACGAGTGCTGACACGAAATAATGCTCAATCGAGTTTAGATTATGGATATTGATAAGGAATTCTAAGGTGCACTTTTAACTTTCAGTTCTCTAAAATTTTTAGAATTTTTAAAAGCCTTGTTAAGCTTAGATTTTAATTTAAGACTTGCTATTAAAGATAAAACATTATAAACATTAAAAATCCATTCCATTGTTCCATTTTCAACAAATAAAATAGTCATATTGCCTCGTAAACAAACTTCAACGTTTATTTTTTAATAATACTCTTTACAGAGTTATTAATTAAATACTATATATTTCTATTACATTTTGATGCTTTGCTTTAGATTTAAATTAAATAAATCCCAAAGATCTATGAATTTCCAAAATCACAAATTTTAAATACCTAAAAAAATGGTTTTAGAGTCTATTCCATTTCATCTTTTGTTAAGATCTTTCACATAAGATTTAAATTCACATAAATCTCGAAGACCTCCTGACAAATATATCTAAAATTCATTATTTTAAAAACCACAAAATAAGACTTTAGAGTTTGCTATTTAATTTAATTAGGAAAATTCTATGAAAATCTATAAGTCAGCTAGCTTTTCGCAAATGAAAAATAATTTGACCGAGCAAGTATTATCATTCATGGTTGTCTTTCCATTAAATGTCCGAATATCCACACATTTGCCATCCTTGGTGGGTTCCCCTCCGCCCACCGGAGATATTTCGCTGTGGAGGCACTGGTGAAGGACACATACTCGTCCTCCTTGAACTGATTGGTCACATCGATCCAGTAGCGATGTAGACCAACCAGTTTATTGTTGAAGGCATCCAGCTCCTCCTGGTTCTGTGGACTAGCCAAGTGGCCACCCATCCTGTGGCATTTGCCCAAAGCCTCGTGCCAGTTTAACTTTTGTTCCTTTTCGATATAGTAATACTTAGTGCCAAGTTGGGTGAAAGTTTCCTTGGTCAGATTTGCTGGGAGGAGTAATTGGGATTTATTTTCCCGATCCTGTTGAGTGATCAATGGAGACCCAAAGGTGTCCAATCTCTTGTCCGTGAGAGCTATCCTAGCTATGGTCACAGCTGCCTCACAGGCCTCCGTTCGCTTTTGCAGGATGGCCAGGTTGGACATGCAAGGACTAAGAGCTCCAAAGCAATAGGCAGCACATTGCGTTTGACACTCATCGCCCTGGATATTTATAAAATAATATATAAATTATATTTTTTATATATTAAATTAATTAATTACTACTAGAAGCACTCACCACACAGACTGCAGAGTGGGTTTCGTAAAGATATATAGTTAATATTCCAAAAATAATAAAGCAGCGCATGTCTTGGATTCTCAATACTTTTCTACTCGAGTTTCAGAGTAAGACTGATGCACACATTTGGCAGAATCTCAATCAATGACTTTATAAGCTCTTAAAATTTATGCAAAGCAGAAAATCTTACGCTGCAAGATTGTCTTTATATGGAGTATTTCCAGCCTTATCAGGGTTACTCTCAGATAGATACCTCTTTACACAGAAATTCTCACGAGGTATGATAATGTTTGGAATGTTTTGGAAATGTTCTCAGGAAATTATTTTAATTGAGAAAACCTTATAGACTTAATAGATTTTTAAGGAATTATCCCATAATATATCGTTAATAGGACAATAAATCTGCATACTCAGTTTAACATTTTAAAAACTTAAAATGACTGAAATTATAGTAGCATTCTTTGAACAGATATATTTATCTATAATTTTATATGACATTTTTTCCTACAGATCAAAACTAAAAATCTCATAACTAAGCCAAAAATGCATTAATTTTAATTCGGACTGCTTTCCTATGTTAGTTTTTAAGAGGTTAACAAAGCTGCATACTCAGTTTAAAACCTAAAATTTTTGCCATTTTTCGGAAATTTTAATGATGTAACCCCTTATCATTTTTTACAAAAATCGACAAAAATTGAAAAAATTTATTTTCTTTAAAATATAGCTAGATCGACTCGCCGTTTAATTCTGATCAAGAATATATATGATTTATGGGGTCGGAAATGACTCTTCACTGATTTTGAAGCTTCTGACTAAAATTATAAAACCCTGCAAGGGTAAACATATGTAAATATTTACAAATGCTAATATTTTATTTTCTAAACATTATTTTCACAATTAACGTAGAATTTATATATTTTTTAAATTTACTTGTTTCCTATTATAATAATTCCCTTAAAATCTGGGAGAATATCCAAACATGTCGATACAAAGATTTTTCTTAAAGCACATTTTAAAGTATTATTTTTAAACCTTTACTTTATTTTATTATACAATTGTTTTTCCTAATTCTAACCCATTTTTAGCACCACAAAAGCTATAAAATTCTTTAAAATCCTCTCAAAAAAATCGTACTTAAATCCTATTCAAACACAAGTCATATTTAATCGATGACTCACTTGTCCAAATCATTTTTCGACTTCAAATTTCACACGCACTCGTAGTCGATGTCGTGGGGTCTGGGCGCAGGCCGTTGATCGCGATTGCTTTTGGATGCATATATTAAATTTAATTATAGACTTTCGGGTCTCAACAACAATAAATTTGATTAATTTCATGACTGTTTTGCTGGAGCTATGGCTTTTGAGAGCCGAGAACAATGCGATAGGCCTATAGCCAGATCAGATCTCGGCGATTAGGTCAGCGGCAAGTTGATAGAATGAAAAAACCAACTTGAAAATAAGCGAAAATAAAATTGCAATGCACGCATGAGCATAACCAAAATGTCAAGAAGTCGTTCGAGTTTGAGTTCGAGTTCGAGTGGCTTGAATTCGTTGGATATTTGTTGTTTATTTACGCTATTTCGGTGCGAGAGCTCAGAACCCGACTCGATCTTGCTCTTGGCGGCATTTGTAATTAGCGGCCAACACAGATTTTTCCCTCTTATTTTATTTTATTTGATTTTGTTTGTAGCGGCGCACTTTTTGCGCATTTATTAATTAAACGCAATGCGACGCACGACATTGGCCATGCTGGAAAACCATATCGAAATCGAATTCGTATCAAAACCAATCGAAACGAACCAAAGGAGAGAAATACAACAAAATAGAGAGATATTAAACATAGAAGCCTGCACATCGACCTTGAGTGTGGAGCTGTGCGTTTTGCGGCTTCATTCATAATACTCGATCTCCGATTCGATCCAAAACCAAACCGATTGGCAGTAAGCCCAGAGATCTCCTCTCGGGCCGAGTGACTCAGCGGTTCCAGCGAAATCCACTTTTACTTTCAAGCCAACTCGACCTGAACTCCGCTTATAAAGACCAGACAATAAATGCACTCGAGTGCATCTCAACTCTGACAAATTGCTTGTATCCGTCCATGTTCGGCGATGGTGCAATCCTCAATTTGGGAAAATCAAACAATCGGAAAATAAGAAACTAAGAAACTGAGAAAATTCGATAAAAAAAGGCACCTGCAAAGGGCAGAAAATTAAATGGAGATGGTTAAGATGTTGCGTTGCGTGTCAACTTGACATTTCGAACTCCTACTTTAACTTCTTTACAAAAATCGAACAAAAATTAAGATTAATTAAAAGCTGTTTTAATGCAGAATGAATTCTACCTTAGTTTAAATCTTAAAGTCATCATGAAACCCGTTTTGTTATTAACATTAATTGGAACATTTAGTGAAGCAAGAAATTTGCCCCATTTTGTTTGTATTAATTAGGGACTTGACAAAAATTAATTTGCTTTAGAATTTACGCAGCCTTTAAAAAAATGTCAAATCAATTTATTAAAGCGGTCATTTAGCAGTTTTGAGAGTGATGTCAATATTTAAGCAATATTTTGATAGGTGCCAATAAATGGAAGTTTTAAATCAATTAATAATAGGACATTAATCTTCTGATTTTGAGATTCTTGAATATATGTTAGAAATTCTTATCTTTTGATATGAAAATATAAGGAAATGTTTGATATTAATCATGGATAATTAAAATAAAAGAAAACTTAAAAATACTGAAATTATAATAGCATTCTTTGAGCAGTGTATAAATTTTTAAATGACAATTTTTTCCTACACATCAAAGATTAAAAATCTCATAACTAAGCCAAAAATGCATTAATTTTAATTCGGACTGCTTTCCTATGTTAGCTTTTAAGAGGTTAACAAAGCTGCATACTCAGTTTAAAACCTAAAATTTTTGCTATTTTTCGGAAATTTTAATGATGTAACCCCTTATCATTTTTTACAAAAATCGACAAAAATTAAAAAATTTATTTTCTTTAAAATATAGCTAGATCGACTCGCCGTTTAATTCTGATCAAGAATATATATGATTTATGGGGTCGGAAATGACTCCTTCACTGCATTACAAGCTTCTGATTCTTAGGGGAAATGTATTTAAATTCATATAACCGTATGAAATTTCCCTATTAATTTTTTCCTTCCCTTCTTATAGGGCCTGGGCCACTTGAGTGGCTGCCACATCAACCCAGCTGTAACCCTGGGCTTCCTGATCGTCGGCGAGATCAGCATCCTCAAGGCGGCCTTCTACATCATTGTGCAGTGTGTTGGAGCGATTGCTGGAGCGGCTGTGATCAAGGTGGCTCTGAATGGAGTTGCTGGCGCTGGTCTGGGTGTCTCCAGCTTTGATCCCGCCCTGGATGCTGGCCAGGCGGTGCTGATTGAGGCTCTCATCACCTTCATTCTGGTGTTTGTGGTGAAGGCGGTCTCGGATTCGGCTCGTTTGGACATCAAGGGATCGGCGCCACTGGCTGTGGGATTATCCATTACCGCTGGGCATCTGTGTGCGGTAGGTTTTTAGGAAGCAGCCTCCCCTTAGATTAGAGTTTAATTAATTTATTTAATTTACAGATCAAACTGAGCGGTGCCAGCATGAATCCCGCCCGATCCTTTGGCCCCGCTGTGGTCCAGGGTATGTGGGCCGATCACTGGGTATACTGGGTTGGGCCCATTGCCGGTGGCCTGATTGCTGGAATCCTCTATAGATTCATCTTCAAGGTACGCAAGGGCGACGATGAGGCCAACTCGTACGACTTCTAGGCAGTGTGTCCCAGAAAATCCCTTACTATATTAAATATATTTGTAAATGTAAATGTCCGCACAATATGAAAACCCCCGCTTTCCATACGCATCACATTTTCGCTTTTCATCCAGACAGGGACACACATCGAATTCGCTTCCGGAAAATTTCTCTTGGAAAATATTCTCACATTTTTATTTGTTAAAAAATAAAAAAAAACGCAAATGCCTTGTTTTAGTTTTAATTAAAAACGCGAAGCTAACACTTTAAATATGCAATATATTAATTGATATTGTATTTGAGTAATTTTAAGCTAAATTATACGCACACAAACACACATGTCCTTACACAAATCAAAGAAAAAACTGTATTTGAAAAATCGAAAGCACAGTAAATTTTCTATGGGAAAATCGATGGATTTTCCATACCGTTGAACACTATTGTTGAGCACCCACGAATTGTATTATGACTATGTGTAATAAAAAAAAGGATTAAGAAAATATCAGCTGAGCATTGTGTATGTCCTTGGGGCTTTAAGCTATTTTAATATTAGTTTCCAGGCTTTATAGTGTAAGATATAACCATTCATCACAGGCAATCATTGGGCTGACATTTTGTTTCTATAATTTCTTAAAATTAATTAGCAGCGGAATGCTTCTGGTAAGGAAGGAATTTAACGCTTCTGCAATTGGCCAGGAAAGCTACCTATGGATACCTATGGCTTAACGCTTTTATTACTAATATTTAGTGGGCGTTAAGTGCTAGTCGTTTGTGCCAAAGTTAATGTATACATTTCAGTTTAAGAAAGGCTGCCAGCCAGTTCAAGGTCCTGAACCTTTTTGGTCACTCGATGCCCTCCGAATCCCCGTTATGGCTTGGTTTGCCTTTGGCATCCTTTGCATCCTTGTGATGATGTATTGCCTGTTGGCCGACGAGGCCACTCCGGGCAGCCTAACAGTTGGTATTACGGGTAATCTAAGGTAATTAGTGTTTCAATTTGGGGTTGCGGGGATAAGTAAGCAATGTTTCCTCACTAGAATTGCTTGTTTTTCCTTTTAATTCCAGCTATGACCTGAGTTCCGGATGAAGAAATCCGAAAGCTTAACTCCGATGAGCCACAGCTAGAGTCTACAATATATTTATAATCAGTATAATAATGACCAAAAATCGATTCTCGTTAATTATAAAAAAGAAATGAAATTATATGAATTATAATAATAATAATTTCTACAAAAATAAATGCATATAGGGTTTCCTGCTTTGTCCTATTAAATAATGAAATAAAAAATAAATACATATAGGGTTTCCTGCTTTGTCCTATTAAATAATGGAGCAATAAATAGGTAAAAATTCAAAATATGTCTTTTATGTAATATATATTTATAAGTCCATGAAGATGAAGGTTGCTAAGCATCTTATTGATAATTACTGTAGCCAGTTATTTAATATCCCCCTTAGAATATAAATACTAATTATTTGAGACTCTGCTATAAATACCTAAATATTTAATTTTAAAACGTCCCTAGAATGGATATTTTAAGTCTTCATGAAAGCCATCTAGCGGCCGCAGGGCGAACTATTGCAATAGAAATTGTGTTTCCCTTCTCAATTCAGCACAAAAGTATGCCAAGTATAGGCACGTCCGCCTGTTGTGAATTATTTCAGCTCATATTGAACTTATCAACGCCAATTTAGAATTCAAGCTAATAATAAATAATAGCTAATTAAAGCTAATAAAAAAATAAATTAAAAAGCTGAAAAATGTTTAAAATTTCTTAGATCTAATAATAATTATAATCATTAAAAAAAAAATTTTCATATGTACATTTTACAAGATATTCTAGGCAGTTTTTATTTAGCGCAGACATCTACCTTCTATAAATTTACCACCATCAGACTTTACCTCGCTGTATTGTTGGGTGTCAGAAAGTATAAAAAACTTAACATGTAAGAAATTGGTAAAGAATTTTCTTTACATTCTAGGCTTTTAAAACATCAAAAACTAATACTAAACTATAATACTTGATTAATATGATATGACAAGAATTATGTTTTGCTATCTAGCAAGTATTTGCGATAACAATAACCACGATTAAAAACGATTAACCTCTTAAAAGCTAACATAGGAAAGCAATCCGAATTAAAATTAATGCATTTTTGGCTTAGTTATGAGATTTTTAGTTTTTGATGTGTAGGAAAAAATTGTCATATAAAAGTATAGATAAATATATCTGTTCAAAGAATGCTACTATAATTTCAGTCATTTTAAGTTTTTAAAATGTTAAACTGAGTATGCAGATTTATTGTCCTATTAACAGAAAACATAGGAAAGCAATCCGAATTAAAATTAATGTATTTTTGGATTAGTTATGAATTATTTAAACTTTGGATTGAATAAAAAAAGGTCATAAAATTATAGAAAAATGGTATTTTAATTTCAGTCAGAAGCTTGTAATGCAGTGAAGGAGTCATTTCCGACCCCATAAATCATATATATTCTTGATCAGAATTAAACGGCGAGTCGATCTAGCTATATTTTAAAGAAAATAAATTTGTTCAATTTTTGTCGATTTTGTAAAAAATGATAAGGGGTTACATCATTAAAATTTCCGAAAAATGGCAAAAATTTTAGGTTTTAAACTGAGTATGCAGCTTTGTTAACCTCTTAAAAACTAACATAGGAAAGCAGTCCGAATTAAAATTAATGCATTTTTGGCTTAGTTATGAGATTTTTAGTTTTTGATGTGTAGGAAAAAATTGTCATATAAAATTATAGATAAATATATCTGTTCAAAGAATGCTACTATAATTTCAGTCATTTTAAGTTTTTAAAATGTTAAACTGAGTATGCAGATTTATTGTCCTATTAACAGAAAACATAGGAAAGCAATCCGAATTAAAATTAATGTATTTTTGGATTAGTTATGAATTATTTAAACTTTGGATTGAATAAAAAAAGGTCATAAAATTATAGAAAAATGGTATTTTAATTTCAGTCAGAAGCTTGTAATGCAGTGAAGGAGTCATTTCCGACCCCATAAATCATATATATTCTTGATCAGAATTAAACGGCGAGTCGATCTAGCTATATTTTAAAGAAAATAAATTTTTTCAATTTTTGTCGATTTTTGTAAAAAATGATAAGGGGTTACATCATTAAAAAATTTCCGAAAAATGGCAAAAATTTTAGGTTTTAAACTGAGTATGCAGCTTTGTTAACCTTTTAAAAACTAACATAGGAAAGCAGTCCGAATTAAAATTAATGCATTTTTGGCTTAGTTATGAGATTTTTAGTTTTGATGTGTAGGAAAAAATTGTCATATAAAATTATAGATAAATATATCTGTTCAAAGAATGCTACTATAATTTCAGTCATTTTATGTTTTAAAAATGTTAAACTGAGTATGCAGATTTATTGTCCTATTAACAGAAAACATAGGAAAGCAATCCGAATTAAAATGAATGCATTTTTGGATTAGTTATGAATTTTTTAAACTTTGGATTGAATAAAAAAAGGTCATAAAATTATAGAAAAATGGTATTTTAATTTCAGTCAGAAGCTTGTAATGCAGTGAAGGAGTCATTTCCGACCCCATAAATCATATATATTCTTGATCAGAATTAAACGGCGAGTCGATCTAGCTATATTTTAAAGAAAATAAATTTGTTCAATTTTTGTCGATTTTTGTAAAAAATGATAAGGGGTTACATCATTAAAATTTCCGAAAAATGGCAAAAATTTTAGGTTTTAAACTGAGTATGCAGCTTTGTTAACCTATTAAAAACTAACATAGGAAAGCAGTCCGAATTAAAATTAATGCATTTTTGGCTTAGTTATGAGATTTTTAGTTTTTGATGTGTAGGAAAAATTGTCATATAAAATTATAGATAAATATATCTGTTCAAAGAATGCTACTATAATTTCAGTCATTTTATGTTTTAAAAATGTTAAACTGAGTATGCAGATTTATTGTCCTATTAACAGAAAACATAGGAAAGCAATCCGAATTAAAATGAATGCATTTTTGGATTAGTTATGAATTTTTTAAACTTTGGTTTGAATAAAAAAAGGTCATAAAATTATAGAAAAATGGTATTTTAATTTCAGTCAGAAGCTTGTAATGCAGTGAAGGAGTCATTTCCGACCCCATAAATCATATATATTCTTGATCAGAATTAAACGGCGAGTCGATCTAGCTATATTTTAAAGAAAATAAATTTTTTCAATTTTTGTCGATTTTTGTAAAAAATGATAAGGGGTTACATCATTAAAATTTCCGAAAAATGGCAAAAATTTTAGGTTTTAAACTGAGTATGCAGCTTTGTTAACCTATTAAAAACTAACATAGGAAAGCAGTCCGAATTAAAATTAATGCATTTTTGGCTTAGTTATGAGATTTTTAGTTTTTGATGTGTAGGAAAAAATTGTCATATAAAATTATAGATAAATATATCTGTTCAAAGAATGCTACTATAATTTCAGTCATTTTAAGTTTTAAAAATGTTAAACTGAGTATGCAGATTTATTGTCCTATTAACAGAAAACATAGGAAAGCAATCCGAATTAAAATTAATGCATTTTTGGATTAGTTATGAATTTTTTAAACTTTGATTTGAATAAAAAAAGGTCATAAAATTATAGAAAATGGTATTTTAATTTCAGTCAGAAGCTTGTAATGCAGTGAAGGAGTCATTTCCGACCCCATAAATCATATATATTCTTGATCAGAATTAAACGGCGAGTCGATCTAGCTATATTTTAAAGAAAATAAATTTTTTCAATTTTTGTCGATTTTTGTAAAAATGATAAGGGGTTACATCATTAAAATTTCCGAAAAATGGCAAAATTTTAGGTTTTAAACTGAGTATGCAGCTTTGTTAACCTCTTAAAAACTAACATAGGAAAGCAGTCCGAATTAAAATTAATGCATTTTTGGCTTAGTTATGAGATTTTTAGTTTTTGATGTGTAGGAAAAAATTGTCATATAAAATTATAGATAAATATATCTGTTCAAAGAATGCTACTATAATTTCAGTCATTTTAAGTTTTAAAAATGTTAAACTGAGTATGCAGATTTATTGTCCTATTAACAGAAACATAGGAAAGCAATCCGAATTAAAATGAATGCATTTTTGGATTAGTTATGAATTTTTAAACTTTGATTTGAATAAAAAAAGGTCATAAAATTATAGAAAAATGGTATTTTAATTTCAGTCAGAAGCTTGTAATGCAGTGAAGGAGTCATTTCCGACCCCATAAATCATATATATTCTTGATCAGAATTAAACGGCGAGTCGATCTAGCTATATTTTAAAGAAAATAAATTTTTTCAATTTTGTCGATTTTTGTAAAAAATGATAAGGGGTTACATCATTAAAATTTCCGAAAAATGGCAAAAATTTTAGGTTTTAAACTGAGTATGCAGCTTTGTTAACCTCTTAAAAACTAACATAGGAAAGCAGTCCGAATTAAAATTAATGCATTTTTGGCTTAGTTATG